AGTACTAGATCTACTACTGGTGGTGGTTAACTACTTCTATTTCATTTTCTCAAGCTAATTCTATTTTTCACATAGTGCAAGCTGTAGTGCTAGCTGTAGTGCTACAAGTGCTACTACTATGTGAAAAGCAGCACTCACCGATACACACTCACTGTGCCCTTTCATCACTGATGCACACTCACCTGTATACCACTGGTGCCTCTACTACTAGTAGTAATACTTTGTAGTAGTCCTACTAGTACCAGTCTAGTAGTAGCTAGTAGTAGTACTAGTACTAGTACTACTACTACTACTACTACTAGTACTAGTAGTACTAGTACTAGTAGTAATAATAATAACTGAAACCTACAACTAGTATCAGTAGTAGTACTACTACTTCTAGAAGGATCTGATAACCTGCTCTACTAGTACGCACGAATTAGTAGCACAAAAAATATATATTAGGGGTGAGGTTATTGTTGAATATTGAACACTGATTCCCAATATACAATATACAGTGCGTTCGACTTCCACTGCCACCGAAGCAGACCAATTTATGTCTCACACAGCTTTCTTTGAAAATGGCTCTTCGATTTGCCTACCGGTAATAGATGCAAGTTTCTGATTCAAACTCGGGTGACAGATAAGGTGACTGCATCTTAGTCGGTACGAGTGTCGAATAAAGATTCCGACTAGACAAAGACAATTCAAGAGCTTTCAGACTGAATATCAGCATGAACAACATTTGCAAGTCAGCCACTGTTTTGAACCTAGTCGTTGCATTCACCTACGGGTTCACAGCAACACTAAATGTAGCATTGCCCAAGAAATCCTTGTGCTTGATGGTCGCCAGCCAGAGCGAAGATGTCGACAGGTTTTGCAAGGCGCGAGAACTGGTTCGGTCTTTGGTTGAAGAAGACAAGTGCTATTCGAAGAATTCTGGTGCGATAGCATTTGGAGAGGTTTGTGCTGCAAATTGTATCTACGAAGATTGTTTCGAACCTCAGCCTTTTGTGGGAAAACGAGTACGTTGTTTTGATATAGACTGGCTCGCGTGTTATGAAGTGGTATATTGAATTTCCGTCGTTAGGCCGATCGCTTCACAATGACTTACATCCACTACATCCCAACTGCTTTTTCAGGCCGTTACCAATCATGTTGTTTCCAAAGCTAACCAAAGAAAGGGAAAAGGAGGTGTGCGTATTGATAGAATCAGTGACGGAAGTTCAGCTTGTGGTTTCGCCTGGACGTGGGTGTCAGAAGATGGGAAAGAGGAAGGTCTTCGTGGTACAACATTCGTAGAGCTTAATGAGAACGGCGAAATCCAATACGTCCGTGAGATCCCTGAGCCGCTGTATAAACCTGGTGACTTGACGTTGGAACTTCTTAAGGGAGTAACAAAGGACGCTGTAGCGAAGCCGCCCCCAATTTACGAGTCAAAAACTCCCCAGTCAGCCAACGAGGTCGCGAAGTATTTATTCTACGAGGTCCAGGGTGGTGATATCGACGAATCCATGCGTCTCTTTTCCGATAGCATTATTTACCGCGATTTTAACTACGACGAGGTCCTCAGAGGCAAAACAGAGGTTCGAAAGTTTATAGAAGATTTTTCTTTCCCTGGTATTGAATTCAAGCCGGATCGATTCGACGATGGAAAATTCAGCACATGCTTCACGTGGGATGTATGCCTGGATGGCCAGGAAGATTCTATCAAGGGTATGAGCTTCTACGAAATTGATCCGGAATCTCGTCTTGTCACTTACGTTCGAGGTATGTATTGTGTGCGTGTGTTTTGTATGCTGCGATTTTTAAACTGAAATATTATTTGTTTGCACCTTTCTTTTAGATGTTCCTGAATCGGCCATCAAACCACCTCCGCTTGGTGGCCTGGCTAGAGCGCTTAGACCTGGTCTTGGGGTATTTCAGGGAGTGCCGACAGGAAGTAGACCGGGTGGAATGTAGATCGTAGACAACTAAATTATCCATGTCATATAGATTCATTTTCATCAAAAGCGAACCTCTTGCTTTGACAAAACGAGCAATCGCGTTGCATTGGTTCGATAGATGGCTACGAGGAATATTGCGCGTGCAACTATGCCACTCACGAAACATATTGCTGCATAGCATCTACAAATACTGCACTGTCTCTGTTTACGCTACTTCTAATCGTAGACATATGCTCTAAATTTAAAGTAATTGATTGGTGGTTGACACAAACTGTCTTGGTGACCGCGTTTCTGTCAGTCGAAATGTCGAGTCAGGTCCAAAAACAGATGGTGCAGTCGCTTCTTTCCTCCTATTTCTTTTGTTCGCTTCTTTTTTATGCTTCTATTCAATGCTAACGGCCAAAAAAATCCAATAACTTCGTCCTTGCAAGACGTTCACTATAAATCCTACAGATAATATTCTTAGTGAGGAATGGAGGCTGGGACTGATACCACAACACGACGTGCGATCAATCCCACATCACGAAGATCGTTTTTGGCAGTTTCGTTCAGTTTTTCAAGCTTTCGTCTCTGCTCTTTCAAAATCCCCACCAATTCTTCTTTATATGATCCCACTAGGTTTCCATCGACATCAGCAACACTAGTATTGATCGAAACACCACCATTATTACCACTGACACTCTGTGTTTTTGCCTGATCTTGTAATTTGAAAAAAGCCCCTCGAAGCTTCTCCACCTGATCCAAAAGTTTGGTCAGCCGTTGCATAACACGATATTCGTCGGGCTGAAGCGGTTTGTTCAGACACCGGGCAACTTCAACCCGCATCATCAGTTCCAATAGACGACGGCGCAAAGTGGCATATTGCCGGTCCTTCTCCATCAAGTCTTGTCTGGCAATCGCCGCGCGTTGACGGATAAACTCCAAGTTTTTCTGCACTGCAACTGCGTTGTCTGCGTATGCCTTGGCCCGTGTCTGCTGGTTCGATACCCGACCTTGTAGAGCTACAGCACCGATGATTGGAGTAGGTACATAGTTGTTTGGGTCTGGGTTGTTGACCACTGCCATCTTCCAGTCGCGGCTATTGATTTGAGGGGGACGCTGGGGAGCAAAAATTGGTTGTTGCTGTTGCAAGTCATGGAAATGTTGGGAATACATTCCTTGCTCTTGTGGTTGCCCCGTTGCCATTCCATGGATCATTCGCAATTGCCTTTCTTCGGGAGTTATTTCGTTGTAAACTACAGCGACAAACTTTGCGGATTCTTCGCCGTCTTCCGGGACGACACAAGTTCCAGAGTATTCCCGATGCAACTTTTCAATCTTTGTTCGAATTCTAGAAGCCTCTACAACTCTTTCAGCGGTGATCTTCGCCTGTAAGAGTGTGATTATTGCAGACAATTAGAATTTATCACGAGTGAAAGAATGCAAATTTCAAATAAGTGAGATTGTGACAACAATTTACAGACGCATCGAAAGCGAAACAGAAGAACTCGACTCATCAACATCAATCCAAAACTTGCCTCCATCGCCGCCTGAGCTGGTATATGATGCTGCGGTACACCTGGTTGCTGTGGTTGTTTCGGTTGACCAAATGAACCAAAAGAGCTAGCAGTACCAAAAGCACCCGGCGCAGGAGCCGGGGTTCCAAACAAGCCACCTCCGGCGGCAGGGGGTTTCGCCGTACTTCCAAAGCCAAATCCCCCAGTAGCAGGTGCGGTTGAAGGAGCTCCAAACGCAGATGGAGCGGGAGCACCAAATGCAGAAGGAGCGGGAGATGGTGACGGAGTCCCGAAGGAAAATCCAGACGAAGCTGGAGCAGGAGCCCCTCCGATTGTGTGCACTGTATTGCTTCCCCAAGTAACACCGCCTGACATCTTTCTCAGAACTTTTCGGTCGGAAACTTTTGCTTGTGAAGGATTCTTTAGATTGGCCGATATCAGATGTCAAACGTGACAATGAAAATCAAAAGAACGGTAAGATATCAGACATCAACTTAGTTCTGTTGACCTTGTTTATCGTTAGTAGGATGTAAAGGACAGTAATAGTGATCGACGTTTTCGCGATGAATTTTTCAGTCGATACTACACGGTCAAAATTGAAACTGGTGGGCGTCTCTGAAAAACATTTGAAAAGGGTGAACGGGAAACTATTATTACAGGTACAGAAATTCTACGCATCTCAGTCAGACAAATAATTATTGGTTGCGTTAATTTTTTCGTAAATCCGCCCCAATCGCAGTTTTTTTAGTTTTTTTCAGAGTTTCCATTTTATTATTATTATTTTCTCTCAAAATGTGTAGACTGTATTACAAGTCCTACACAAAAGAAGACTGAAATACAGAAAAAATTCTAAAACAAATTAAACTACTTCTTTTCTACTCATTTATTCATTCTCTCACTGCATACAATTTCCAAACAAAAAATAATCACTCCAATCACACAAACAATAATATTTACCAACATAAAATTGCTGTCTGTAGGATATCAGACCGTGGGTATGACTCATATATATGACACATACATATGATACGTATCTACAATTCATACACACCATACATACATGATTCACTTGATCCCATCGGATTCATACAATCGACATGACTCATCTCATTCACTTGCGTGAGTGACTCGACTCATTCAATTCACACATCACTCGATGATCCTCACAGCGATTGATTCTAGATTTCATAGTTCGTCGATCCTCGATAAGAGCATCAACTCACTTTTCTTCTAGCACACATTTTACATCACTATTAGGACAGTCACTCCCATAGGTTGAAAGTACTATCACCATGGTGGGATTGTTTCTTGTTTTTTATGATGATTGCCAGTATGGTAGTGATGCGATCCTATCTGATGATCAGCATTTTGGTCTAGACCCTCAGAGTAGTCCTCCCCAAGAAGACAGCATTGTTCTCAGTGGTGGTGCCATCCCTTCTCTTGAAAGTGTTCCTGATGCCACCTACTAGTACTAGTAGTAGCTGGTACTAGTACTACTATTAGTAGTACTAGTAATACTCTGATGTATCCTCTGGTGATGATGAGATCCAAAAACTCCTCCTTGACCATGGCCTCTCCAATTCATCTGATCTGGACAAAATGAGCTGCACTATCTTTGCCAGGACTTAATCTGCTTCTCTCTACTGTCTACAAAGGCCGTGTCACCACAGGTGAAGAACTGAAAGACCAACAATGGTGGAACTTTGCTTGTAGTTACATCTTGGCATGGCTTGGTATATTTCTACTTCAGATGTTTTACTTCAAAGTAATAACTTCAAATACTTTTGGTTGGTGTTGAGAATGGCAGAATCTATGCTCCCTTTGTCAGGAACACAAGAAAGAGGGAAAATGGATTTGCCTTTGTTAGCCAATATATTCATTTACAGCAGAAGCCAAGCCAATCACACTGACAATTCCCTCTGCAAAATCAGGGCCGTGATGGAGAAAATGTCTGGTTGTCTTTTTTTCTTGGGTGACATGCAAATATTGATCTGTCTGTTGACAAGTCTCTGATTAGCTATTTACAAAGGACAGCAAGCAATCTGGTTTTGTCCAGTATCTTCCTAAGAAGCCAATCACTGTTGATCAGACAAAGAAGAAGATTAGCTCATACTCTCTAGAAAGTTTTCTTTTTCCAAAGCTACTATCTAAGAGTGGTACAGTCCAAAAGAGACATCTCAGACAATGATAGTACAAAATATTCAAGATCACTTTGCACAAACAGATGGTATCTTTTTATTTTCTTCTGGTTCCTTGAGAGAGTAGTACATTCCTGCTACATAAATACAACCAGCCTTATGTGTGATGATTTTATGAAGGAATGGTGGAAAGCGTTCAAATCATATAGTATACTATAGAATGTGAGGGAAAAAGTTCAAGCTTCTCATACATCTCAGCATCATTTTATTGATGAACAAAGCCACATGAGGAAAGATGCAATGGAAAGTACAAAGGAGCAAAGAGGAACTATTGTTTTGTTTTGTGTAGAAGAAGCAATGCAAAGGTATCCTGACTTATCAGTGAGCAGGAGATTGAGGAAGTTGCCAGAGATTTTTGTAAGTACAATGCTGAAAATGTCAAGGAAGAATGGTTGGTGCTGCAGAAGTTGCCATGTTGCTGAATTTAAAGATCATTGGAGTAACTTCAACCATCAGGTGCAGTGATGTGATATGTGAATAATTATATTTTTATATTTGCTAAAAAATATTCTTATTATTGCATAGTGATGAGAGGAATGTAATAGGTTTAGTAATGTAGTAGTAGCAAAGAAAAAATATTTTTTTTCTAATTTTTGCTGGCGGCAACACTTGGCAACACAAGTCTTAAAAAGTTAAAACATTTCCCGTTGCTTGTTGATTTAAAGAAGAAGGTATCATTCTACTGGGTCACATTCTACAGTACAAGTATGATACTGCACTGGCTCCTGTACATACTATGATAAATTCTAATTCTACTGTACATGATCCCCTACATTGATTGGGCAGAACTACGTTGATTAGGTGGAAATTTACATCCCCTACGTCAATTGGGTGGAAATATACATCCCCTGGGGGGAATCCTACATCTCCTAGGTCGATTTTTGGAATTTTAGGTCCCCTACATTGATTGGGGGGTTTCTAGATCCCCCATGTGAATTGGGGGGAATTCCACTACATTCTCTACATCCAATGGGGGGATGGGGCAGAATTCTAAATCCCCTAGGTTGTTCAGGAGTAATTCTAAATCCCCTACATCAATTAGGGGGAATTCTACACCCCCTGTATCCATTGGGCAGCAATCTCCATCGCCTACAGTACATGAACTAGGAAACAAATTCTGAACATTAAACGATCCTGGTGGTAGGTAGAATTTATCCTAAAACCATATGAGTATGAGGGAAAACAAGTGGTGGAGGAGATACTTTGTCAACCATCATGCTTGTCTGTCTAATACCTGCTTCTGAGAAAGAGTATGTCCATGGAGATTCAAATTGCATTGCTCCCACAAGAAAACATGTTAACTCAAAAAGAATTGAGTCAAAGATAAAGCAGCTTCTATTATTAGTGCCACCACAGGTAACTAGGAGCTAGAATGGGGATCTGAATTGGAGATCCGATGCTGGAAGAGGTAGTGTAGCCATCAGTTTTTCACACCACATGTGCTAAATGAAGATTTTGGCTTGAGTCCATGCAAATTCCATAGTAGCCAGAGTAGTCGTCACAGTATACAATAGGGCCTGAAATTGGCAAGCCATGTTTGTTTTTCCATAACTGGTGTTTTAATCTTCTTCAACAGAAAGTTTGGTTTCTATCTTGGTCCTCAATTGTTACCCACTGATACTATGCACATGAATCAAAAACCAACAATAACAKGCTGACAGTGGGATGTAGAAATCAGAAAACAATAGCAGATAGTAGTAGTAGTCCTGTAGGGCTTGGAGAGACCTTTTGGTACCAAAACAATGGCTAGAAGAACCATAGGTTATGATGCCATTACTTTACACATGTTTAGTTGGGATTTCATAACCTCTCATACTCAGTTTGAAATTCCTTTGCACCAGTACCTCCAAGCACAAGTTCTTTCAGTATTGTCCCTCAAATAGGCCTACAGCATGCACGTGCGAGCAAAACTATTTGGTCGCACAACTGGTGGGAATAAAATTTGAGCTGTACCAGTAGTATGTATGTAAAAAGATAGCCCGTAATCTACGACTGGGACTGTACATTAGCTGGCCAACTCTACTATACAATAGGCTTGGCTACATTTTCTGGCCAAACCATTGGTACATTTTTAAACTCCAGATATACAGCGCTGGGTATACCTTTCAATACTCATTAACCATCTATAACCCCCACATGACTAGTAGAATCCTGTTTTAAATTGCTTTCAATTCACGTGCTTACCATACTTAAGCGTGTGTTGGGGAACATGATATAGCTGTTTGAGTGAGTTGACCCTAAGTTAACTCTCTAGGTGTATTTTGTACGGTGTGTCAATTTTGGGCCATCTAATTACCGTGTAATGACTCGTGGGATTAAAAATTTGACTTGTACTACCAGTACAGCGGGGCACATGCAAGCAAAACTATCTGGTTGCACAAATGTGGGATTCAAAAATTCAGCACATGCCCTGCTGTACTGGTAGTACGAGTCAAATTTTTAATCCCACAAGTCATTACATGGTAATTAGATGGCCCAAAATGTACAACTGGTTTGTACATTTGGTAGCCAACTCTATGATATGCAGATAGGAATGGGGGCCTGTAAGGTACTAGATCTGGCAATTGACAAGTAATAACAAAATAACACTAAAAATGTTGTTTGCCAATGCTACTTGCTGCTTGTTGTTTAGTATTTGTCACTTCCTTATTGGTTAAACCTCAGTTGTTGAAAAAGCTTCAGATAACTTCTTTGTATCATTGACATGCGTTTTCAAGGTCTTCAAAGCTTGCATCATCATCATGTTTAGCATGTGGTACATGACCTTGTTGCTTTTTGATGGGATCCCCTTTGTTAATTGGTTTATTTCTGATCAACTGGTAGATTTACATTGGATCTTGCTGTTGTTGTTGCTTGTTGGAAATTTGCTTGCTATTGTAAATCCAATACTAATAGTTCTTGTACTATCTTAGAACAATTTGAGCAATCTCACTAGAAGTAATAGTTTCTTGTGTATTGGTGTCACCATCACTTCTCCTGGTTCCATTTGTTTCTTGAGTTGGATTTGCATATCTTGTAGGTATTGAATGATGATGTAGTAAACCACAAGTTCAATGCTGTGGAACTGCTTATTGGTGTTGTTTTGGTGTGTTCTGTGTTCTATTATGCATGATGGCAAGTGGAAGGTCTCCATCAAAGGCATTGATCTCTCATTGGTACATGTGAGAGGTGGTTAAGTGGGGAAGAATTCTTGAGATCTTTATTCTTAACATTCTTTCATATGTATCAGATAAAATCATAGAAGTAAACACTACTATGTATGTGAGAAATTGAAACTTATTTATTATCAATAGTAGTAGTACTACTACTAGTACTATGCTCTGTAGTTTCCATTTGTTGGTGACTTTTATGTTGACTGCAATAGCAGTTACTACTGCAAGCAGGAAAGAAAGTGGAAGCCCCATAGAAGGATGAGTTGGACAATAAATAAAACAGGGCAAATGTATTTGTTCAACACCACCATAAAATGAAAGATAAAAAAGAATTTTCCTCTTCTGCAGTTGGTGTGACTCATATTTGCCATTCTTGCAGTATGTTGATTGTTCTTGCAAAACAAGTACAGACCACTTTCAACAGCTACTAAGATACATTAGAATATAATATTACTTACTGCTAGTAGTTTTTTGTTACACCAGTTGATTTTGAGAAATCCTATTTGTTTGTTGCTGTTGATTTGATACAAGGAAATGTGTAGACTGATTTGGTAGATTTTGGGAATTGTTGGTTCCTTTGCTAAGAAGCAGAGGAGTTTTGACCCAAACCAAACCACCACCAACAAGACATATATGACATACAACATCAAGTACCCACCACATTAGAACTACAAATCTGGGTGATAAAATGGCTGGGGATAGGTCTTCCTATCTATGTGAAGAAAAACAGTGATGCTATTTCACATCACAATTTTTGCACAGCAGCAGCTGCTGCTCACCACCAGCTAAGTGTTTAGCTGTAGACTATAATTTTCCTCTATCAAAATGTTCCATGTCCCAAATATTCAAATTTGGTAATCACAAGAAGAATTCCCAACATATTGGTATTAAATTTAAATTTAAATTGATTGCAAGAACAGATTTTGTTACAAATTTCCAGCACCAAAATCAATTAAGGCACTTCTAACTTGTTACTATTGGAAACTTGTTGCGCTGTCTATTATGATTGACTCACTATACTACAGTTGGCACTCTTGGTGGTGGTGATGTTTTTGACATTGACAGCAAAGCAATGCTTCAGGTGAACAAGCTGCTGCATTAACACTACCTGCTACTGCTGCTGCTGCTACTACTACTACTACTACTACTACTACTACTGCTGCTGCTGCTGCTGCTGCTGCTGCTACTGCTACTGCTACTGCTACTGCTGCTGCTACTGCTACTGCTACTGCTGCTGCTACTGCTACTGCTACTGCTACTGCTGCTGCTCCTGCTACTGCTACTGCTGCTGCTACTGCTACTGCTACTGCTACTGCTGCTGCTACTGCTACTGCTACTGCTACTGCTGCTGCTACTGCTACTGCTACTGCTACTGCTACTGCTACTGCTACTGCTACTGCTACTGCTACTGCTACTGCTACTGCTACTGCTACTGCTAATTGATAAATTTAACCTAGTATTTTCTCTAGATGATTAAAAGAAATCCCCACAGCAGAAATCAATTACTACTAGTACTAGAGTAAATGACACTTCAAGCAGAAGAAGCAATCACTGCACTACTATAGTAGGCGCTAGCTAGTATGAGGCCATAAAGTTAAAATCATTAGAAGTGAAAGAGAAGCAAATAGTAATTATTTAAATCATGATGTCCAGAATAGTGAGAGAGAAAGTTGTCTCAAAGAAGCTTATCCTAGTGCCAGAAGAAGTAATGGTGTGCCTGCACCAGCTCAGAGGATATGGTATGTCTGAGACAAGGGAAGGAAAGAGAAAGAAAACTTTCTGACTAACAATCAACTAAAAATTGCTGTCTGTAGGATATCATATTGCACATATGATTCATAGACCAGAAGGAGATTCTGGCCACAATGTTGTTATTTCTGACATTTGTATTGGACAGCAACAGCACCAACCCAAGCCCCCATTAAAGCAATCCAACCAAGATGATACTCATAAGATCAGTCTCATTCCTCCCCTGTATTCCCCACCAGCTGCTTGCAGTTTGCCTCCACTGGATCAATCTCCAGCTCCTCCAAAAGAAGATTCCAGTCTTAAAGTTGTCGCTTCAGATATTGTGTTGGACAGCAGCAACAACAGCCCAAGCCCCCACCAGTATTTAACCAAGACATTTCCTTTGAAGAACAACACCTGACATGTACTATGCTACATACTCCAGTTTGAAGATCCTCCACCAGCCTCAGCTCTATGCCCCAGTTCTTACAGATCAGAAGAAGATTCTGGTCACATTGTTGTAGTTTCTGACATTAGCGTCTGACAACAACAGCAACAACAACAACGACACCAATTCAAGTTCCAAGTACCCACCACAGATTATTCCTTTGATGAACAACACCTGGAGTATTGTATAGCATGGCCAAGCAAAAAAAGACAGTTATAACCATACATTTGCAATTCAAGATATACGTACACATATATTGGTCAATACTTATCGGACATCCTTCTCCCCCACGCCATTAGAAAGCTCTTTCGATTCTCTTTTCAACCATGTGCTTACCATGATACTTAAGCGTCCATTGGGGGAAAGTTATAGCTGTTCAAGTGAGTTGAACCTCTCTTAATGCCCTACTACGTGTGTACTGTGCATGGATAACCAGCCATCTAATTACCGTGTAATKACTCATGGGATTAAAATTTGACTTGTACTAGGCCTACAGCATGCACGTGCGAGCAAAACTATTTTGCACGTGTGGCGAGCAAGACTATTTTGCAGGTGCGCAAAACTATTTGGTCGCAAGAATGTGGGATTCAAAAATTCAAGTACTGAGCACGTGCATTTTTTATGCTTTAGTCAAAGTAGTTATTACATGGAAAATAAGGGCCCAAAATGTACAGCTGGGACTGTACATTAGCTGGCCAACAACGCTATACGATATGCTACATAAACAGTTTGAAGGTTCCCTGCCAGCCTCAGCTCCAGGTTCCAGTTCTTATTTTCCTGACCAAAAGCAGTGTCATCTGGTCACAATATTGTTTTTGCCAACATTTGTGCCAGATAGCAACATCGCCCACCCAAGCTTCCACCAGTATCTGCCCCAGACCTTTCCTTTGAAGAAGTCAACAATGGCTCGAGTATATACTACATACTAAGTTTGAAGATTCCCCAGCCTTATCTCTGTGCAGTCACAATGTTGTTGTTTCTGACATTTGTGCTGGACGACAACAACCCCCACCCAAGCCCCAATCTAGATTATAGATCTATCCCCAGCAGTCTCTTTACCCATGCCCTCCTATCAACTAAATGGCATCCTGCATTACTATCAACACTAGCTAGTACTAGTAAGAAGCTTCTTGTCCATGATCCCTTCTTCACCACCAAGAAACAACACAGGAAGCTGTTCCTGCAGTTAGACTACAAGAACAGCAATTGGCACTTTAAGAACCTCAACAAAATATCCACGACCTTTAAAAGGGACCAAGTACACCACCAATGTCACAAGACCATGTCATTTTGTTACACTGAAGTCTTTTCTTTTTTTCTTTTTATATTTTATGAATACTTCCTCACCGCCTGTGTTGTAAATACACTGTGGGAGAACGTTCCGGTGTTGGCTACAGTGCACTGGACTCTTACTATCTTCTTTAGTACATGGTAGCCAGTAACCTTGAAGAATTCTTACTACAGCCCTGGACTTACCAAGGAAACAAAAAGAAACTTGTTTTAAGTGTGGATTTGTGTAAACCCTACTAGTTGTATACCATTTTTTGCAAATAAATTAGTACCTTAACCAAAAACAGATTATTCATTTGCATCATTTTTAACTTAAACATTCAGTCATTATTGTGACAACAAGTCATTCCAGTATTTAAGAGAAACAAATTGCTCCCAAGACTCAAAAAATCACCAGACATTATTAATTATCGTGAGGATGTCATTTTCAGACCATAACTTCAACCTTACTAGCAATAACTTAGTTTTTGCACCGTACTACGAGTTTCGTAACAAGAATTGAAACCGGACTCCGCCAGAGAGCAATAAGTAGTACTAATAATTTCAAGTTCTAAACTTCGATTTGAAGTTATTAACTACAAAATGTCCCGGTAGAAAGTCTACCACCAGGAGGTTCTACTACTAAGCTAGTTTTTGGATGGCATTCATGATTGAAAGGCCAGGATTCATGATTGAAAGGCCAGGATTCATAATTGAATCACCTCGAACCATTTTGTTTTGTTTTGAGGGGAATCGATTCGGTCATTCAGTCATTTTAAAAACAAGCTCAGTAGAACCTGGTACATGATGTACGAGCAAAAGTTAATAACTTCAAATCAAAGTTTAGAACTTGAAATTATTACTTCTTTCTCTCTGGCGGAGTCCGGTTTCAATTGTTACGAAACTCGTAGTAGTAAGTATTTGCGTTAGCGAGCCAATCAGACAAAAAGAAACTTCGTTGGAGTTCTCCACGACTGCCGCATGTTTCAAAAAACCATCCCGAGTTTCTTACTTCATAGATCTTCCTCTTCAAAAATTGCACACACCACATGAGCAACGAACCGTACCTGGTACTGTACGGTACGTACCGTACATCAGTGTACAGCTTTGAACAACAGAATCATGTACAGAGTTCAGAACCATTTTTGCAGCAGCTTCCTTCATTAACATAACACTTACAAAGCAAATAATCGTGCGAGTACCCGTCAAGTAAACTACCGTACATCCCAGGACAACCTCTTGAAATAGAAGACATAAGATACAACAATCGAAACGATTATGTCATTGAGAGAGGCGCTTTATAAAGAAAAAACCGGAGATAAAGAAGGGCGAAGTGTTATCGGCAAGATGAAGAAGACTTATGATAGCGTCAGCAGTAGCACTTTGTTTGATAGCCAACAGAGACAAGACTTGTTGGGCTATCATAATGCAAACAAGAGTGACGACAACACAACCCGCAGTGATACGTTTCGAAGTGCGGAGTTCACTAAGTTTATCCATCAAAAATATATGCAGTCGAAAGAATCGCCAAATGGCACAGCATTTGATTCTGGCAGGACGAATAATAGTGACGATAGCACAAATCGTGCCTCTGGGTTTGATAGCGTCGATTTCACTAAATTCTTGCAACAGCTACAGTCGAAAGACTCAGTGAACGGCATAGATTTTTCTCTGTTCAAGAGCAAAGAACCAAACTTGGGGATGTTTGGGAGCAGAGACTCTAGTGACAAAAAGCCCGAGGCGACCAACAAAGATAATACGCGTAAAACTAGCACTGCTATTCCTGGATTGAAAAGCCAAGATTGGGTGAAGTTCGATATGCTCGGCAAACATGTCGAAATTCCTATTTCAATGGGCATGTTTTCCTCAAAGCAGAGCGAAGGGTCTCCGACCATGAGAAGCGCTCCGTCGCTCAGGACAGACTTCAGCTCGTCTTCGATGATCCATTCATTGAAAAACACTGCAATCGAATTGCCTTCAGAACCAAAAGTACCTTCTGCCACAAAAACGAGAAAGAAAAGAAAGAGAAAACCACGAAAGAAGATAATACCTGAAACTAAAACGTACGTCGAGCCATCAGATAAAGATGTTTTGATGGGAAGGGGAGGGAAGTCGAACCATCATCCAGGAAATTCGAGATACAGGGGGGAAGTAGAAAAGTTCCAGGAGCGTTACAAAAACGCGGATGACAAAGATGAGAAGACAAACATTAGCGAAGAATTGGTGCGTGCTATCCAATCCGGCGGCGGTAATTTCTTAGAAAAGGATGATACCGGAGCATGGTACATCATTGACGATGTGGTTGCTCGCCGCAAGGTATCACAAGCATTGCGAGAAGACAAAGATCCAGAAAAACGAAGAGCGAAGCGTAAGCGCTTTCTTGAAAAAAGAGCAAGAGAACAAAAACGTCAAAGATAATTCGAGTGAACGCCCAATACACTTAAAATTTATTTGGGAAAATAGATATAAATACTTGGTATTGAAAGGAGATAAAGATATCACTCGGCTGCATAAAAATATTTTATTCTAGTCATAGGATTTAAAATATTAAAAAAAAAACCTGAAGATCTTCAATCCAGTTTTTTTTGTTTGTTTCATTCAGTTCCTGTATGTTGTGACATGGATTTTACTCACTGATTATCTCTTGTCATCGACTCAAATACTTCTAGGTGAAGATCTGATCACGTTTCTTTTTATTGCGTCTGAACTTCTTCCAAATTCCAGATATTCCATCACGGATACCATGAGCTGTAAGCGTAGCAATCATAACTGTCATGCCCATCGGTAGCCAGCTCAGAAGTCCTGCGACTACACCACCAGTTGATGTAAGAACATAGAGACCGGTAGCGAATCCCCCTATCATAGAAGCCACTTTTATATCATTCAATGGAATTTTTGTGGCTTTGTCACTTTGGCCTTCTTTGTCAGTGGACAATATGCCAAATTTCGGATCAAAAGCTGTTACTAACTCAGAGAAGTCCGATGGGAAAATGGCTAGATCGTGTGGTTTTTGAGCGCTTGTTATTGCATCGGCGGTGCGGCTGGCAGATAAAGGTTGGTTTCGTTTCTTGAAAGTTCTCGTTTCATTTGTTTTCGATTGATCAGGTAAAGGAGCATACGTCATGTTCTCCAAAAATTGATCTTCAAATTGTTGTTCCACGGACGAAAAAGATTCCTTTCCAGCAATTGGACACTCCGTGTGTTTGTTTGTATTCTCTGAGATAGCATCTCGGTGCGCTGAGGAGGAACGATCCTGAAAAGAAAGAGTTGCAATCATCACACCTGTGACGAACGCTATGAAATTCAACAACCAACCTTGCGTTTTACCCTGGTATCTTCGCTGGTTTACTTTCGACGAGATGTTAGATTTGTCGTTCCACGTGATTTTTGAGGAAGCGACATCAGGAGTCATAGATGATGCAGTTGCCAAGCTGTCATTTCCTTCAAAAGATGATTTTCGGTATAGAGAAAGCATCGCGAGAATACGCTCTTTTGCTCGTTTTCGAATCATGGTATGAGGCCCGATAATCTCAAGTGTTTGCATGCCTAGGACACAACTTCTGTAGCATTGAATGATTTCGGCCCATGAAACCTTTTCTTCATTTTTCTCAATATTGTCTATGGTTGAAGCAGCTTCTTTCTCTTCGCAAAAAATTTCTAACACCATCAAGAACTGTTTGTCAATTTTGATGGTGTCGTACTCACCAAGGTTTTCAAGCTTTGTATACATGCGTTTTAGTTGTTCCAATGAAATTTCTCTAAGAAGAGGGTTGCTTTGTTCAGCGTCCTCATAATTCTTGCCAGCCTGTATTTCTTCTGGTTGAATGCTCTCTAACAAATCTAACAAAGACTGAACATAAGAGATGGTCGTAGTCTGTTCCACTTCCTGTCCTTTCATCATGCGCTCGTATCGGATCAAAAAAGACTCTTGGTCAAAAGAGCATCTAGAAGACGCTCTCTGTTCGATTGCAGTTGGTGACGAGGGAGGTGACGTTCTTAGCTCCTCGATTGTTGCGTCTTTCTTCTTGTCCGTGTAGCGATTTGTTTTGGCAGCAGCTGTCGAAAATGCTGTTTTGTAGTTGCAGGGGCGCGGAAGGATCGATAGCCCTTCACCATCGTTGTCGGTTCTAGATTCATTCAATTCATCGTCGTTTGTGACACTATGGACAATCGAATGCTCGCTATTCTCTCTAGGGCCATCCCAGTCGTCTTCATCGTTCGTGATACTGTTGGCAATTGATTGGTTCACCTCCTTCTTCGCAAATTCAAAGCCGTCCCATCCGCTCTGAGGAGCAGATGGAAGTGAATCTCTCATCTTGGGCCCCTTTTCCGGCACAAACTCTTGCGAGCCCGACATTGTCAATTCAGCACGGTACTCGTACTTCAAACATTCACTTATTTTAAATGCGATTGTCAAGATCTTGGTGATCACTACTTGAAAACGATACTGTATTTTTGTTCTTTCTTGTTCGACGAGGTACTTTTTAATAAGCATAGGTTAGCACATTTCTGTACTTGGTAACGAATTATTTTTGAAAACGACGATTTATTTATCAATTTATCAAATTTTTTCATTTCAAAAAATTTGAAGATCGCCGGCATGCTAATGAGTCATAGGAGTCGAATCACGAGTAATTGGTGAACTAGAATCTTGATGATGAACGCGTTTTTTCCTTCTTCGTCAACTTCTTCTTGGCCCTTGCTCCCTAGTACTTGAACGTCCGAGTGCACGCATTACCTGTAGTAATAACGACCCCCAACCATCATGATTTGCAGCAGCTAGCAACATACAAAGTAATATCAAAGTCGTGGACTGTCTTTCGACATGAATGCAACAAATAGAGAAACCTTTCGATGCATTAGCAGATGCGGACTTTTGCGGTATGCTGGGAACCGAAGGAGATCCTGCAACAGTAGTGGCGTGTGGTACAGATGTTTTTCGACCACTTGTCACGCCCAATCATCGAAACAAGACGTAAGGGCATGCCATCGATTCCAGAGAAGATCTTTTTCCTCTGTCTCAAAGGATGAAGTTTCTAAATTTTCCGAATTCTCGAAAACTTGGTGGGACCCGGAAAAAAATCCTTTGATCGGGATGAATTCAATCCGTGTTCAGTACATCATCAACGAAATACAGAAAGTACAGATGGTCGCCGAGGACAAAAGTCAAAATGGAATCGCTAACAGCTCCAAAAAGGCGTCAGCTCCGACGTCCAACAAATCAACACCTCCGCTTGCAGGCTTAAAAGCTCTTGATGTGGGTTGTGGTGGAGGACTTTTGTCCGAGTCACTTGCCAGACTTGGAGGCGATGTTACGGCTGTGGATCCATCTCTGACTCTCGTCGAACACGCGAAAGAACACGCAGAGATGGACCCAAGAACTCGAAGCATTCGTTACCGAGGAGGATATACTATAGAACAATTGGCGCAAGAATCCTCGGAGCCTTGCTACGACGTCATCTGTCTTTTGGAAGTCATCGAACACGTGACGGATGTGGATTCAATACTTAAGGCAGCCAATTCCTTGTTGAAACCAAATACTGGCCGTCTATTCGTTTCCACCATGAATCGAACGATCAAAAGTCACGTGGTTGCCATTGTTGGTGCCGAATACATAATGGGATATCTTCCTCCTGGCACTCATGATTGGAATGAATTTCGATCACCTCAGGAAGTCGAGGCATTGATGCACCGATCTGGGCTTCAAGAAGTCGATGTTCAAGGAATGGTAATAACAAAGCCGCCATTTGGGGGTCAATGGCATTGGAAATTGGATCGAGAAGATACTGACATCAATTGGATCGGAACCTACAAGCTTGCATAAGATTTAATGGAATTTTAAGTTTTAGTAACAGTAACCTTACAGCTTAATGCATTTTTTCAATTTGGTTCTAGAATGACTAAGAATGTCGGGTGTTTATTACGAAGTTTTCGTTTTATTGTCGATCAAAGCAAGTATTACCTTCCTAGCGAAGCACTTTGTGATAAGAAAAGTCCCAAGATACACCATGAAGATTCCTGTCGCGAAGAACAACAATGTCCATGGAACAGGAGTTGGTGGTCGACACTGGAGAACACATAGAGGTAATTCATCTTCACCTGGTTCTGGTTCTAGCGAGTTCAATTTACGCAACGGGTGGGCTTCAGTAGTGAAAACAAAATCATCCAGGGATACATAATTGTCAGGTGCGAATATCAAGAGCAGATACTTCAGGGTTTCCGCCAAGAAATAGGAAGGCATATCGTCAACATGCCCCTTCATCGGATCATTGACATCCTTTAGTCCTGCATAACCGCCGCTAGGTATTTTGCAATATTTTTCAAGGCTTTGAAACACGCCCCATGCCCTTTCTTGAAGGTCTTCGTCTTTTGTGAGGCGATAGGTAACAAGCAGACTTTCGACATACTCGGGGCGAAGATAGTAGGATGGGTCTTCACTAGAGAAACTGTCTCCATTGAAATTCCCTGTATCGGGAGATATGTTGGTTTTAGAGTCTTTGTACATTGTAGCGCATCCGTCCAATAGTTGTCGGGCAAGGCGGTGGTCCTGGTCATCGACAAGAGATTTGGAGCCCGGTGGATACCTTGTCGAAGAGCCCAATGCAAGCATACCAGGAACGAAGCAGAGTAGATGATCATAGCGCCTACCAAAATCCACAGGAAAGACACCGATCGAAGTCGTTTTAGTATGAGACCGAGTGAGCTGCTTTTTCACCATCTTTTCATACAATTCCAAATGCTGTTTGTCACTTTCTGTACAGGGATACGTGTACATTTCCATTCCAGCATCGTAATGGCATCTATTCAAAGTAGGGATCTTTAACAAATATTCATAAAAAGAGTCAGAGCCGCTCCCTAGAGATCTGGTTTGGGAATTGGGCTTTCCTGTCAAGACATCCCAAGAGTAAGGAATCATTCCATCTTTTTCGTGAGCATTAACATGGCGGAAAATTTCGTCAGAAACCTGACGATACCTAGGGTCCCCAGATACGGTGGATAGGAATGCAAATTCCAATCCAAATGATCCGAAMCCCGCCAATGAATTGGTTTGATGCTCCTGTGTAAATCGGTTCCGGGCAGTGCTGTAGATGGCCTTGTAAAGACGCTGGATAGAAGCCTTCCAGTCCCAAACCCATGTGCAGCTATTAAGAGAACGAGTTGAAGGAGCCAAGACATTAAACGGTCGCGGTATAATAGTCGGAGATGCTTGGAATGGTCCCTCGAGAATTGCATCTGCTCCATTACGTGCTGCTGCAAAGAGCCGTGTGTCTCCCGAGAGGCTGTAAGATCCTAACAGACCACCCAGGATGCGAAGAGAATATTCAAAAGTTTTTGTAGCTTGTGGCGACGTGGTTTGTATGTCGTACCGTGTCAACCAATCTACAGCCTGTTCGTACTCTATGGTCATGTTGGCCAGATACAAAGTATCGATGGAATCATGAAGTGTAGCGGCATAGTGCAACCAAGAATGTCCCGTCTTTGAAACTGGATTCAGATCGTCATGAGGGATGAATCCGCCTCCTTCGTTCCAAAAAGAATCCAGGGATGCGACGTTCATATAGCCTTTCCATGCATGAGAAATGGCAAGCTGCACTGCTCTGAATCTTTCCTTTCTCTCCGGTGAAAGATTTGACAAATCGAGATTTGGATTGATGGGTTTCAGTTGCCGACATCTTTTATCTTCGTAATTTTCGTTGCTGTACCACTCCTTCGTTGTCAGGGTGTGCTCAAGAGTCGAAATGATGAAAACAGACGCGATAGTAAAGAAACATAAGTTGCGCAACAAACTATGCCGTAAACTCTTTTTCCTCTTCTTTTTGAATGCATTCCCAGTCCTCGTTCTCTTTCTTGTTACAAAAGGATCTACTGTTGGAAGGGACTCAGCATAATCTTGTTGTGTTCTCGGCATAGTAAGATTCAGCCTCTAGCTATGATCTCGTCTTTAATGTATGTGGAGTAATCCAGATTGCGCTTGATTGCTTTCATAGAAACCACGAAGAAGGATATGGGGTCGGTAGTATGGTTGGAATGACGATACACCTTGTCGATTGGTTACAACGACAGAAATTCTTCGGACTTTCCTTTTTTCGCCTGTCGCCTTCATTGTTTACTACTAGTATGAAGAACTGTAAGTACGTACTAGCGGTACGCACCAGAACAGATACTGGCACTGAGAATAACTTGTCGGTCGACCTTTCAGCTTTTCATACTGCGAAGAACGTACTACAGTACGGTACATAGCTCCTATCGGTAGGTACAAATACATACTTGTACCGGCCGGTTGGTACTTCTACTACAAACTTTGTGTCTTTGTTGGTGATGATGGTGATGAGCTGAGGTATTGTTGTGGTTGCTCATAACCTGCAAAATGTATGTATGCTCTTTAGTGTCGTATAACTATGCAAACTACGTGTTTACAATAAAGAGTGAGTGGATGTGCTGTTTGCTGTCACTCACTATTCACTCGTGATTTACTACGTGGTGGTATTGCCTCACAACTACTACTAGTTGCAATTGTTCTCAGCAGCTCACTCGTCCAGATTTTGAAAAACCAAGAAAGTCCACAAATTTTATTAACCCACTAAATACAACTGCAACTGGTGCTACTATTAGTAGCACTAGCTACTACCACTATGCATCCACCAACACCAAGAGCTGTTTCGTTCCAGCATTCCACCACCAGGTCACGGAGAAGTAGTACTTTTGCCAGTAGTAGAACTTCTTGTTGGTCTGCAGCATGATGTTGTCCACTTTCTCCTCCTTTTTATTGCTTCCGTTTTGAAGTATCTATCAAATCTGGTTTGTCTTTTTGAATGTAAGTCGCACCTTCAAGGACGAGCTCCTCTATCTTTTGGGGAGGATCTACCACTGCCTCTGGTACTCTCGTATTGTTCTTGCCGTCAAATGAAGCAGAGACACTGCCTTCGTCTTCTCTGCTCCGACCAAGCGAGAGGTCGATGAGTGACTGGATGGAATAGCAGTAGCACTGTACAACAAATGTGGCACTCAAAGTGACGTTTGAGCATAGGTGTCCTTTTCTCTCGTGCTGCAAAGCTTCGCACGGTTGTAAGATCCGTGAGAAAATAGCATCATATCAATCATTCAAATATACCTGCATCCCCACACATCGAAGATACAATAAACTGCTAGTACTAATTGATCTACTGTTGTTGTTGTTGTTGTTGTTGTTGTTGTTGTCGTTGTATACACTACGGTAAATGGAGGCCGACGTGGTCGCTCGGTTGCAAAGGCCCGTTGCTTCGATTGGTAGTTAGCTGCTCTGTGCGTCCTGCTTTTTCTTTTCAAAGGGAGCCACCGTCACCCCCCCGTGCAGTTCCAGAACGGCAATCGCCTTGGCGTTCTTGACCGGTTTTTTCTTCGCCCAGTACATGGCGTTTCCCCCCTTGTCGAAGTTCGTTCGCTCGTTGACGTTCGCGCCCTCCTCCAGGAGGTACTCGATGACGTCGGCGTGTCCGCTACGGGCGGCCTCGTGGAGGGGCTTCCAGCCGTTCGAATCCGCCTTGAAGAGCTTGTGCCGACCCTGGGCCTTGGCGAGTTCCTTGAGGACGGCCAGCTCGCCCAGGGACGCCGCCTGGTGGATGGTAAGGTCCCCAAAGACGGCCTTCGGGCTCTTGGGGGTGACCCGGTCCTCGTATTCGTAGTGAAACTTCTGGTCGTAGAGCCCCTTGTATTCCGGCCATACGTACCCGGGGTGTTTCCGAAAGACCCCGGGTTTGGGGTGGTGGTTGCTGCTGCTGCCACCGGCGGTGCTGCTTTCGTCCGTTGCCGCGTCGGGACCGTCCTCGCGAGCGACGTCCCCGAGTGGCGGCTTTTTCAGCTGCTCCCCGAGCGCCTTCTCAAAGGCGTTCTTGCTGGCCTTCGTTTTGGCGGCCTCGGCGGCGTAGTGGTCCCCCCCGGTGGCCCCGTGCGCGTGCCGGAGGGTGTGGTAGAGGGGTTCGAAGTGCACAAAGACGCTCCCGTACTTGGCCCCCTCGCCACGGAGCGGGTAGGGCCGGCCGTGGATGACGGAGGCGCTCTCGTAGAGAATCATTTCCCCGGGCTCGGCCGTCAGGTTGTGGGCCTTTCCGTCGTGGCCGATGACCTCCAAGACCCACGGTTCCGCGACGTTTTTCTGAAAGACGTTGATGATCGCGGAGGAAACCAGCGGGAGCCGATCGACGTGGGGAGCCAGAATGGCCCCCTCTTGGTAGACCCGAATGCCGTAGGCCGAGGTCAGCACCAGGCGCTGRCCCGTCCAGGACTCCAGGACGTCCTGGATGGACCGGATGATGGTTTCGCGTTCTTCCCTGGCAAAGGGATGGGGGAGGCTCTCCCGGCCGATGTCCAGCAACCCGGTGGGGACCTCCCAGTGGTTGACGTAGGTATTGCCCTCGTTCCAAAACTCCGGCCACACGTAGCGCTCGTTCTTTTCGAAGAATGATTGCAGGAGTTCCATCGCCTTCCGTGGCGTGTGGACCTTTGCGTACCCGGCGTGGGTGTAGTTTTGCATCTCCCTGGGCTGGTTCAGGTTCATCTGCAGGCGATCGTTCTCCGCGTTGTTGCAGACGCGCACGTAGTCCGCGTTGTCTCCCTTCTCGTCGGGATTTTCTTTTTTCTGGTACAAGCCGTCGGCCCGTTTCTCGAAGTTTGATCCCTGCTCGTAGCAACCGCTCATGTACCGATTGTACCGCTCGGACTGCCCGTTGGCGACGTTGCCCCCGTGCTGCATGGGCCACGACACGTCGACCCCGTAGTTTGTCTCCGTGGGTGTCGGCGTCGGCGTTGGCTCACCACCGACGTGCACCGCTCCCGACGCGGCATCCACGATCGCCTCCGAACGCTGCGCGACGGAGACCGCCGCCACCAGGGCCAGCAGGGCCGCAACGCCCCACAGAGAGACCAGAATCGCACGTGGCGCCGAACTCATTCGCCCGGCCATGTTCGATGCAATCTATCTACCGTTCTGTCGCGTCGCGTCGCGTCGTGTCGTATCGTATCGTGTCGTGTCGTTTTGTGGTGTGGAGCGGTGTTGAACTGTCTCCTTGGTGTTGCCTTCGTAGCGGACGAGCAAGAGTGCTGGTGTCCAGTGCCTTACTGGTACTCGTACTGGTACTGGTATTTTCACCGGAGTGTTATTCCTTACTGTAGTCGCATTCGATCCGAGAAGCAAGCAAAAAGCGAAGTCCTCGGTCTTTTTTTGGGCAGAGACACTCTGTCTCCCATAACTTGTACGGTACGTACGGTGCTCGTACGTATCCCAACTACGAGGACGAGTGATCCCGTACGGTACCGTAGACCTCCTCGTTCGAATTCGGTACGGTTTCGTTTGACGCATTGTCCCTCCGAGATCGAGAGTGATTCATTCATTCGTGACTCCAGCTCGTCTGTCCTGTTCCTCGTCTGTTTCGCCTCCCGAGTCGAGTAACATAGTACTTGGGTATGTACGCGGGTACGTACGGTTACGACTACCACCGGCCTGTACGTACTTCCCTCTACAACTACGAACCGCACAGCACAGACTGCGTTGATCTAAAGCAAAATCTACGATACTACCGTACGAACCAGATGCTGTCGCACTGCACCGCTCTCTGGCTGGGTACAGAGTACGAGAATGAGCAGACGAGCCAGTAGTACCAAGTAGTATTCGTACGATGCTCTTACTCGTATCATGATTCATGATAACTGATCGACAACAGTTCGATACGATACTTGTACGCTCCCACAAACCCTACGAGTACCTCCTCGATACCGTACCGTACTGTCATCATTCTGCCATACTTGTCGTCCTGTCGATCGGAATCAAGCAGGAGAAAAGACGATCAGTCGCAGAGGGCCCTGGAATCCGTCATCAATCCAATCCAATCCAATCCAATCCAATCCAATCTAATCTAATCTAATCCAATCCAGTCTATTCCGAGCCGTTTCGTTCCGATCCCATCACGCCCCGCGGCAAACAAAACCCACAGCGGCACCCAAACGCGTACGAGGACCGAACCGCAAACACAACGATCGAGACAAGCACAAACAAAACGACACCATGGCGGATCAAAACGCCAACCTCAAGGGGTATTCCTACCAGGAAATGTCCAGCAAGGTCGAACGGGCCGATCGATCCCTCCTCTTCTCGCGGTCCCACGAACCCACGGGGGAGGTGGAGTCCCTGAGGGGCCGGACCGACGTTGGCCGCATGGGGGACCGCCTGGCCGCGGGCCAGAAGCACGCCCGGCCCTCGGAGCTCCTCCAGCAGTCCAAGAAAAAGGCCAAAAAGAAGCCGACGCAGCAGGGCGACCGAACCACCCGCAGAACGGTAGAAAGCATCGCGGCGGGCGGCCAGAGCATCCTGGACATGGACAACCTCACGGGCTACCAGCCCACGACGCAGGCGGCGCGCGCTGCCTACGAAACGATCCTGGTACGTTTTTTGCGCTGCGGCATGAGGAGCCGTGGCGGCCCTGCCGGTGGGTGCCGACACCGGCGTCGGCGGTGGTGCAAACGGGAAGGAGGGTGGTTGTTCGTCGTTGTTCGTTTTCTCACGCAGCCCTGTATTTTGTGTTATGTCTCTTTGTGCCGTTTCGTGTCACTGTTGCTCTCGGCTTTGTCAACAACAACAACAACAACTACTACTACTACAACTACAACCACATCGATTGCGACATTTTTCGTGGCGTTTTTCATGGGATTCCTGCCTTTTATACAACCGTAGACCACCGTTAGTTCGAAGGCGCTCCTGGGCAACCAGGCCTCTTCTATCCTGCGCGATGCCGCCGAAGAGGTCATTCTGATCCTAAAGGACGGCGGGCTCCGGGATCCCGAACGACACGACCAGATTTCCCGTCTGTTGACAGGAAAAGGCGCCGGGGCCAGCGGTGCCATGTCCTCGGAAAAATACGCCGAGTTTGTGCGGCTGGGGAAGGGCCTCGACGACTACGACGAACTTACCAAGCAGGGCGGCGATGGCGGCGGCGACGGTTCCCGCGGCGACAACGGAAAGGGAGACCGTGTCGACGACGAAATGGGAGTGGCCGTGGTCTTTGACGATTCCGACGAAGAAAACGACGACATGAACCGTCCGGAGGGAGCAAGCGACATCGAAGAAGGGGTGGTAGTCGACGCGTCGTCGGATTCCGAAAGCGAGGACGAAGACGAAAACGACGGAAGCGGAAACGCAAACGAATCGGAAGACCAGAGGGGCCGCCGGACGAAACGGGGAGACGGCAGCGAGTCCGATGGCGACGGCGATGATGAAGAAAAACTCATCCAGGGAGGAGACAGCGGGAGCAAGAAAAAACGACGGGGACAGGAACGCATCCTGAGCGTTCACGAAATCGATGCCCATTTCCTACAGCGACAGCTCTCCCGGCATATCGACGACGCGGCGGAGTCGGCAAGGCTGGCGAAAGAAGTTCTGGACGCGCTGAACATAAACAACAAAACCGACGTCAGAGAGTGCGAAAACAAGCTCTTGATGCTGTTGCAGTTCGATATGTTCGATACGATCAAATTGCTGCTCAGGAATCGGGTCAAAGTATGGGCGTGCGTTGCCATGAAGAGTGCCAAGACAGAAGACGAACGAACCTCGATCGAAAAAGCATTGATGGAGGAATCGACGGGCGAAGGCAAAGCGGTATGGAACGAGATGCATTCCAAGAGCCGGGCCGAAGACTGGTCGAAGGAGCGAATGCGAGGACTGACGGACTCCTTCAAGGGAGGAGAGCAACCGGCGGACACCAACGACGTCTCCAAGGCACTGGATTCGATCAAGCGAGAGGACACCAAATCATCCGACAAGATGGACATCGATAGCGACAGCAAAGTAAAGAAAGAGGAAGCCGTAGAATTGGATCTGGATCAGCTGGTCTTTCGCGAAGGTGCTCACACCATGAGCAACAAACAGTGCGATCTTCCGGATTCGTCGTGGAGGGCCATGAAAAAAGGATACGAAGAGGTCCACGTTCCCGCCGTGAAGGCCGTCATTCCAAAGGATGAAAAACTTATCACGATTTCCGAACTCCCGAAGTGGACGCATTCCGCCTTTCCGGGAATGGAAAAGCTGAACCGCATCCAATCGAAAATGTACGACGTCGCCTTGCGGTCCTCGGAAAACATCTTGCTCTGCGCACCCACCGGCGCAGGGAAAACCAATGTGGCGTGCTTGACGATGCTAAACATTCTTGGCCAGTTCAAAAAACAAAAGGCGAGCGACGACGACGACGACGAGAAAGAATCGTTCGATCTAAGTTCCTTCAAGATTGTGTACGTAGCTCCAATGAAAGCACTGGTCCAAGAAGTTGTTACGAATTTTTCGCAGAGACTCGCTGGCTATGGAGTAGTAGTCAAGGAGCTTTCGGGTGATTCCAGTCTTACGAGGCAACAAATTGCAGAAACACAGGTGTTGGTTACGACGCCAGAAAAATGGGACATTGTCACTCGCCAGGGGGAGGGAAGAGCCTACACACAATTGATCAAGCTCGTCATTATCGACGAAATCCATTTGCTACACGACGATAGAGGTCCGGTCTTGGAAAGCATCGTATCGCGGGTCGTACGTCAGGTTGAAACGACAGCGGAACCTATCCGATTGGTAGGCCTCTCTGCAACCCTCCCGAATTATGCCGACGTAGCGACTTTCTTGAGGGTCAAGCCAGAGAAAGGATTGTTCTTCTTCGACCATTCTTACAGGCCCGTTCCATTGCAAATGCAATACATTGGGATTACAGAGCGCAACGCTTTCAAGCGTTTTCAGCTCCAAAACGAGATTTGCTACGAAAAGGCCATGGTCCAAAGAGAAAATGGAAACCAGATCCTTATCTTCGTGCACAGCCGAGCAGATACGGCAAAAACTGCCAAGGCGCTCCGGGACATTGCTATGGAGAGAGACGAACTTTCTCATTTTGTAAGAGACAATTCTGGTACCTCGGAGATCTTGCGCGAAGAAGCCGAAGAGGCAAAAAATGCCGATCTTAAGGATGTCCTTCGGTATGGCTTTGCCATTCACCACGCAGGAATGCACAAGGATGACCGAGAGGCTGTCGAAGCCCTTTTCGCGTCTCGACACATTGGTGTACTTTGTACAACAGCAACGTTGGCGTGGGGAGTGAACCTACCGGCCCACGCTGTTATCATCAAAGGCACACAAGTTTATAACCCCGAAAAAGGCCGCTGGGCAGAGCTGAGCCCATTGGACGTTTTGCAGATGCTTGGAAGAGCTGGTCGACCCCAATACGATACCGAAGGGGAAGGAATCATCTTGACACAGCACAGCGAACTTCAGTACTATCTTTCTCTGACGAATTTACAACTTCCAGTCGAGAGTCAACTGATCAAAACTCTTTCGGATCATCTAAATGCAGAGGTTGTTCTTGGAACTATTCAGAACTTGGAAGAAGCTGCCGAATGGTTGAGTTACACTTTCCTTTACATCCGAATGCTCCGCAATCCGAAACTCTACGGAATTGTGAATGGTGTAGCCGAAATTAAAGATGACCCCACTCTGAAACAACGACGTCTAGATCTAGCTCACACGGCCGCAACTATTCTGGAAAAGAACCAGCTGGTCAGATACGATAGAAGGAGCGGAGCGATTCAGGCCACTCCACTCGGCCGCGTAGCCAGTCAATTCTATATTTCACACGCTTCGATGGCAGTATATAGTCGTCACATGAGGCCAAACATGACCGACATTGAGCTTCTACGATTATTTTCACTGAGTGGAGAATTTTCTCATGTGACTGTTCGTTCGGAAGAAAAAATGGAACTCGTGAAATTAGCTGGCAGAGTTCCAATTCCGGTCAAAGAAAGCCCGAGTGAGCCGTCGGCTAAAATCAATATTCTCCTCCAAGCATACATATCCCGCCTCAAACTCGATGGATTTGCGCTTGTTGCTGACATGGCGTTTATTCAACAGTCTGCAGCAAGAATCATGCGGTGTCTTTTCGAGATAGCTCTTCGTCGAAAGTGGGCATCACTGGCGAAACTAGCACTAGCATTTTCAAATATGGTTTCACATCGAATTTGGCGCAGTCAAACACCCCTCCGTCAGTTCAGGAATGTGCCCGAGGTCGTTGCTCGTAAAATTGAGAGAAAGAGCGATATTGAATGGTCTCGGTATTCCGATTTGACGTCGTCTGACCTCGGAGAGTTGGTGGGGGTTCCAAAAATGGGACGTATATTGCATAAGTTGGTACACCAGTTTCCAAAAGTCGATATTTCTGCTGCTCAGATCCAGCCCATCACAAGATCACTTTTACGAATCGATCTCACGTTGACCCCAGGGTTCAATTTCGATGTGAACATACATGGATTTGTCCAATTGTTTCATGTTCTTGTTGAGGATGTCAACAATGAAAATATTCTTCACCATGAGTATTTTTCGCTGAAAAGTTCTGCTTCAGAGGATGATCATACGCTTGTTTTTTCTGTTCCAATCCTCGAACCACTGTCTCCTGCATATTTTGTTCGGGTGCTCTCAGATAGCTGGTTACATTCCGAATCAGTCCTCCCAATCTCTTTCGATAAAATGATTCTTCCGGCCAAATTTCCCGCACCAACTGAACTGCTCGATTTGCAGCCACTTCTACCAAGTGCAATCGGCGAACCTGCACTCTCGAAATTTTTTCAGTACGATGAATTCAATCCTATTCAGACTCAGACTTTCCACGAACTTTTCAAAACAGATAGAAATTGCTTTGTTTGCTCTCCGTCAGGGTCTGGAAAAACCGCTTGCGCAGAATTTGCCATCATGCGACTATTGACAACAACTTCAGACGGCAAGTGCGTATACGTTGCTCCAACTGATGATATTGCTGATCCCATTTATCGAAATTGGAAAAAACGATTTGGTGCACTGATTGGGAGTTCAATGGTAGTTCGACTGACGGGCGAAGTTATCCCTGATCTTAAACTCTTAAATTCCGGAAGGATTGTAGTATCGACCGTCAATGTTTGGGACGCTTTAACCCGAAGATGGCGACAGCGAAAAGCCATCAAAGCTGTTTCACTCGTCATTTTCGATGAACTCCATTTCCTTGGGGGAAATATTGGTCCAACTTTGGAAGTGGTAATCTCGAGGATGCGATACATCAGTAGTCAGCGGAAAGAAGATGCGGAGGCAATGCGAATTATTGGGCTTGCTGCGTCGTTATCTAATGCTCAAGATGTCGGGGAGTGGATCGGTGTCCCACGAAAGAGTCTCTTCAACTTTTCTCCGAAAGTCAGACCATCGCCGTTGGAAATTTATTTTCAATCCTTTGATCAAAACAATTTCTCAGCTCGTCTGATGGCCATGGCAAAGCCAGTTTACAACTCAATCGTTAAGCACCGTGATGGTAAATCAGTTATTGTTTACGTTTCCAGTCGTCGTCAAGCACAACTGACCGCAATCGATTTAATGACGTATAATGAAAGTCGAAATGGGACACCCTTTTTCGATCCTGGTGCGCACCAAGAACTCAAAGCAATAGCCTCGACAATTAAGGAACCTACTTTGCAGCAAGTGCTAGAGGCAGGGATAGGATTTGTTCATGGTGGAATGCCGAACTCGGATTGGGCGAGCACAGTCAACCTTTTCAATGGAGGAAAGATCAAAGTTCTCGTGTGCCCTGCTGAACTCTGTTGGCAAGTAAGTTCGATTGCTCATTTGGTAGTTATCATGGGAACAGAGACGTATGATGGCAGAGAGCGCCGTCATATTGATTACAAAATTGCCGACATGCTACACATGATGGGGAGACATGCAACGGGCTCGATAGGAAAGTGCGTTATTATGTGCCATCAGCCCAAGAAAGACACACTGAAAAAACTTTTGTACGAGCCTCTACCTATTGAAAGTCATTTAGACAGCTACCTGCACGATCATATTATTTCTGAATGCGTAACAAAAACGATTGAAACAATGCAAGACGCTGTTGACTATCTAACATGGACCTTCTTATATCGTCGATTGCCAAAAAACCCAACCTACTATGGCCTGCAAGGAATTTCGAATGTCCATATCAGTGAATTTCTGAGTGAGATGATAGAGACCGTCATGGGCGATCTTGAGGAAAGCAAGTGTATCAAAATAAATGACGATGGAGAAATTTCACCTCTGAACCTTGGAATGATTGCCGCGTACTACTATATTCAGTACAAGACCATTGATATAATTGCTTCTTCTGTAACGCCGAAAACAAAAATTCGAGGTGTGCTTGAAATCCTATCTGCGGCTTGGGAATTCGCAGATCTCCCGCTACGTTTTAGGGAAGAAAAGACTATCAAGATGTTGGCTCGCACCCAGCCCCATGATCTGCCGGACGTTCCCTATGATGCACACACGAAAACACTTGTCCTCTTGCAATGTCACTTCAGTAGAAAACCAGTACCGGCAGATCTTCGTATAGATCAAAAGAAGATTTTGACTGAAGCTCCAAAGCTTGTTCAGGCAATCGTTGATGTCATCAGTAGCAATGGATGGCTCAAGCCTGCGTTGGCTGCAATGGAACTAAGCCAAATGATTATTCAGGGTCTTTGGAGTAAGGACAACGTATTGAAACAGATTCCATACTTTACAGACGACATCATCGAGCGCTGTATGAAGTACCAGGGAGAAGAACCAATTGAATCGGTGTTTGACATTCTAACTTTGGAAGATGATATCCGGAACGACTTGCTTCGTCTTCCAGATGACAAAATGGCCGATGTGGCAGTTTTCTGTAATAACTATCCAAACATTGAGGTATCTTTTGAAGTAGAAGATGAAGACGATGTAACCACGGGTGATCCCGTTCAGATTGTTGTTCAATTGGAACGAGATATCGAAGAGGAAGAAATGACCGAAGAAGAGCTAGCAGAGCTTGGAAAAGTCTCAGCTCCGCTTTACCCGCATGAGAAGAAAGAGGGATGGTGGGTCGTGGTCGGAGATATCTCATCCAACACCCTCCATGCATTGAAACGAATAAATTTGGTGAGGAAACAGAAAGTTGTGCTTGAATTTCTAGCACCTGAAGAAGCGGGAGATTATAACTTGACCCTCTTCTGCATGAGCGATAGCTATTTGGGATGTGATCAGGAATACACTGTCAATATCAGCGTTGCTCAGGGTGACGACTCCGATGATGATTCTGACGACGATTCTTCAGAAAATGAATAATAATATTTTTTAACAAAGCGGTCTTTCCGCAGAAATTTATGCAGTTTAAAATGAAATCGGCAACACTTCTAATCATAGATAGTTTAGTACATGCCCATAGCGATTGATCTCGACGTAAACGACATCGTACTCGAACGAGGGATAATCTCGAAAGCTTTCCCGGAAGATCAAGGATATCGTGAGAAGTTCGAGGAAGTATCAGGAAAGTAAATACTACTTCGATGGGATTGCTGCCCTCCAATGTATTCCTCTTTGGGCATTTGTAAAGAAGGGGGCATCCGTGGGACGACTGGAAGTGGGTCGGAGTCGGGATCCATACTGTGTTGCAAAGAAAGATCTGGCCAAGATGACTGGTGATGGGTATCAGGCGAAAGATACTCGTAAAGTTGATGTGGTCTATGATACTGGTTCGGCATTTGGGGATGGAATGCCGATCGCTCCGATGATTCCTCTTTCATCAACGGATCATAACTAAAGTGTTCGAAATGAGCTCCAATTGTAGGAGCGTTGTCACGATAACGGTCGAAAGCAGATGTATACTGCTGCGACTGGGTTGCCGATTTATGCTGCTGCTGCTGCTGCTGTTGTTGTTGTTGTTGATGATGTTGATGATGCTGGTTATGACGAAATATTTGAGCCGTAGTTTCATGCGTAGTTCTTGAGGCAGCATCCAATTGTGCTTGCTCTTCGCGCCACTTTCTCATCACTTCTTTGTACTTATTTCGTTCGATCAACTCGGCTTCAACGTAAGGAGCTTTTTCGGCATCCGATGCATTGCGCCATATTTCACCAAGGAGCCGCGAAACATCTGTGTTGCTCACGTCTGGGTTTTGTTCTTTTACTTGTTTCCTACGGGTTTTCGAAAATTTTAGAAACGCAGACATGGGTCGTTTCGGTGCTTCTGGGTGCTTCTTGGCTCGACGCTTTGGGACGTTCCAAGGTCCAGTATACTCAGCTTTCTCTTGAACGTAACGAACCTTATCATTACGAGCCTCTTCATCCCAATATGCCTTGTCCTTCTCAGAAAGCTCTCTCCAGGCAGTTGCAAAAACCTTCAGTAAATCATCATTATCTTTTGAAATTCCTTCTTTTTTCATTATTTCTTTTTTCTTGTTGTCTTTGAAACACATGAATGCGGAGCGAGGAGGCTTTGGTTGTTCTTGTGTAGGGTTCGATGGAATTGTCGGGGTAGGAGTCGACGATAATAATGGCGGCGCTGGTGATGGTTTCTCTTCACGACGGGGAGGCTCTTTAGATCGAGAATGGGGTTGATGGTACGCTTGGTGATGAGGTTGATGTTGATAGTATTGGTGTTGACCATGATGATAATACCCAAATGGATTTGAATGTTGGTGTGGATATTGCGGACGATAATGCCGATGATGATGATTCGAAGGTGAGTGCAAAGCAATCTGGTGATGGTGGGACGAGTAGCCTGACTTGATTTTTCGTTTCACATCGCGGTGGCTACTTGCTTTCTTCGCAACGTTTTCAGACGATCGCAATACCTACATTCGACGAACAACAAATCTACTGTAAGCAATGATAGGACAAGCTATGAAAACAATTAAGATTGATCACTAATAACTTCTCTGTCTCTCTGAACCCATGACCTCGTAGCCACAGCTACTCCAGTCTCGAACTTACCTGCTTCTGATTTGGTGACATGATCTATTGGCACTCGTTTGGTTGTTTCCTTTCAATACAAATATAGAGAAGTGGGAGATGAAAGAATATTCAATGTAATGTATGCAGTGAGTTTACAAAATAAGAGTCTCTGCTCTGTATTTATTTTATGAATCATCGTTCAAACAAGACTGTGAGACTGCGGAAATGACGATCTTGCTAGTAAGAATAGACAATTCGGCATCATTCAAAGTAAATTAGTGCGATCGCATTCTTACAAGAGAAGCAACCCAGCATTCCCGTTTCGTGTATCTCAGACTTCATGCGTTTAAATTTACTTAGATTGAAAGAGTCCCAAAAGATGTGGGACCATTACTTTAGAAAGCATACTCGTTTCAACTGGTCAATCCCATGAGAGACAGAAAGAGAAAATTTCAAATGTGACTCCCTTTTTTAGAAAAAGTACTGCAAGTAGATTTCGTTGCATTAAAGCGTCTCACCGTGCTCGCGTCGATCAGGTTATCCTTTTCAGCGGTTCTTACTGATTTGAGCTCATAACCTTAGAACGTTGTTGATGCCAGGGGTCTAAATTATGACCCCTGGTTGATGCCAGGGGCCATGCTCCATTTGCACTGTGTACGAGTACGAGTAAGTAAGTACAGTACTTTGCGTACAGTACAGTACGTACAGTAAAATACAGTAAAGAGAAGTTAGTCACTAGTCACTATCTACCAGTAGTACTCGTACTAGGTACTCCTACCTGATGAAGCTCCTTTCGGTCCTTTCCATCATATCGGCTTCCACGATTGGAAAATATTCTTGAACTAAAATCGAGAAAAAAAATTTCAAGTGAACAGAAAAGTCGTCCAAAATGTCTTGTCTGTACCGTGCTTGTACTCGTACACACCGTTTACTACAAGTACTACGGTACTGACAACTCGCTCACGCACAGTACCGTACGTACGAAGCAGCCCAGTGCAGTGTCCAGTGCGGTGCGAATTTCCAGTAAACCGACAGATCCGAGGTATCATATTTTACGTACGAGGAACCGTAGGGAAGGTGAACTGTGAATAATCATCATTTTTTTCATATTCGAACATATCAACCTTGCTCATTTCAAAGGATCAATCGATTTTAATCGACGATGATGGAGGACGAATCATCTTTCGCAAGCAAAGAAAATTTTCCTGTTCATTACCATCTCGAGGTGGTTTTGGCATCGTCGCTCATGGAGTGGCAGGATGTTGCTTTTCAAAATCGAGTATGGGTTTGGATGAAGTCTCACAGGGAGGAACTGAAGATTGGGAAATATGGAGAAATTTATTTTTCCGACGACATATCCACCCCAACAGTTCCGGGGGGAACTGATGTCGTAAAGATGCGAGTTATGACTGACTATGAGGACATAAAAATGAATCCTTCAGACTTTTTTTCACCGGAAAATCTCCTTCCAATATACACGTTCGAGTTAAGCCACGACGAGATTTGTACGGAAGAGATCCAGCCCTCGGGTGGAGATGATGAATGGACAGCGGGATGCGACAGTCTTACCTTACCTCATGTCACACTCGATGGGTTATGGGAAAGTTTGATTTTTAATTCGAATATCAAGAGGAAACTCTTGGAATACGCGAAATCCGCAATTCGCTTTAGCGAAAAACAAGTGTTTCAACATATTGTCCATTGGAATCGCATCTTGCTTCTACACGGGTGAGTTCCACCATGGAGAGCAAACGATAACAGCAGAAAAGAGCGACAAATGAAGATTTATAATGACTTCACCTGTTGTTTCGGCTTGTATTTAGGATAGCGTCTTACATCTGATCTTTTTTGCATTCTACCGTAGACCCCCGGGGACCGGCAAAACCAGCTTGTGCAGAGCACTTGCTCACAAATTATCAATCCGACTCCGGGATCGATTCCCACGCACGACTCTGTTGGAGATTCATTCTCATTCACTCTTCAGCAAATGGTTTTCCACCAGCGGAAAACTTGTGTCTGCCCTATTTTCGATGGTCAGGGATATGGTCGAAGACGATCCCGAGCGCTTGATATGCGTCTTGATCGACGAAGTAGAAAGTTTGGCATCGTCCCGTAGCAACACAGGCAACGGTGATCCATCCGACGCTATGCGAGCTGTCAATTCGTTGCTTACATCGTTGGACCGACTGCGACCCTTCCCGAACGTCTTTGTGATGGCAACGACGAACATAACGGGTCGAATCGATGACGCTTTCGTGGATCGTGTCGACCTAAAGATGCACATTGGAATGCCCATTATTCGTGCACGATACGAAATACTTAAATCGTGTTTAGAGGAACTGATGAGAACGGGAATTGTTGATTTGCATGAGTTTGCCGAGTTTGCTTCCCTGGCGGAAAAGGAGACAGGCGAAGGCAGTCATGCCAATGGGAATGTTGACGTGAGCAGTAAGCTTTTACTGGATTGTGCCCAGAGAGCGGAAGGCTTGAGTGGAAGGAGCCTCCGTCGGCTTCCGCTGCAAGCTCATGCGCAGTTTCTGCCCCCCACGAATGATATTAATGAGAAAAAATCGGTTCAATCTTTTTTGAAGGCCTTGTCCCTAGCCGTTGACTCAGAGCAGGAATCTCGATTGAAACTTTGATCCAAGGAAATAAAAAAATACGACTCATTCGCACTGCGTCTTAGAGTGTGCGGAGCAATGTTCAAAATCATTGGAACAAGGGGTGGGATGGGGTCAAAGCTTAGAATACTACTAAAAACAAGAGAACTAGCTTCGACATATTATTGCATACAGTGCTGTAACAAGCATCTCAACAGTTTACATATCAAAAGCGAAAGCCGTAGTGACACAGAATGATAGTTCGAGATGTCTGAAGTAAAATTACATGGTCTGTTTGTGATTATTGTTTTGGTAGTCTCAAGCACTGAACTGCGGCGTATCGTAACTCCAAGTTTCACCATTCTGAATCCAATCCACTCAGTGCCTTGCTCGTTTCGACGGCGGAGGCGAGGACGAGGACGGGTGATCGTGCCGTTCCTGTTGTTGCGACACGCTGTGATCGGTGCTCCCGGGTTCTTCCTCGAGCATGGAAAAGGAAAAGCCCGCCCTCTCCGGAACCGGTATCCCTCCGACGTCTTCCCAGCCCTTGACCCCCCAGCCCGACTGCCCAAAGGCAAAGGTCCCGTATCCCGCCTTCCATCCCGATCGTCCGTAGGCAACCGCAAAGCCGGCGTATTTCCCGTGGGTCGTCCCCGAGATGCCAGCCCTCAGGCCCACGTGTTTGGGCCCCGCGGCCGAGGGCATCCGCCGCTGCTCCGCCTTGGGCGTGGCTAGCTTGACTTCGACGTGGCGGCCCTGTATGCTGAGGGGCTGTCTTTCGATCGCCTTCTGTGCACCGTTGCTCCCGTTTTCGAAGGTCACAAAACCAAAGCACCGGGAGCGGTTTGTGACCTGGTCGATCATGACAATGGCATCGACCACRGGTCCGAACTCTTCGAATATTTCCTTGAGTCCCTCCTTGTCGATATTCGGCGGGATCCCTCCCACAAAAACCTTGTTGTGCAGCTGTTCTGGCGTCAGTTCGCTCTGTTGGTTCTGTCCGTTGTGCTGGGAGTTTTGCTTGCCTCCGTGCGACGCATCGCCGGTTGCCTGGTTGCCGTCCCCAACGTGTATGGACGGGGGCGCCTGGCCCCTGGCCTGGGCCCGCTTGACGTCGACGATCTTATGGTTGATCTCGTGCTTGCCCTCGCTCATGACGACATCGATGGTAGCAGGATCTTGGAAGACAACAAAGGCAAAACCCCTCGGATCGCCCGTGTTCCGATCCCGCATGACGTCCACCGAGGCCACGGGTCCGAACTGTTCAAAGTGAAACCGCAGGGATTCCTCGGTGGTCTGCCAGGACAGGCCGCCCACAAAAATCTTGGCGTGGTCGTTGTTGTAGCTTTTGTTGTGGTAAGGGTTGCGCTGGCGATGGACGCCGCCCGTAGTGTTGTTGTTGCGATAGGTTTGCTGTTGCTGTTGCTGTTGCTGCTGCTGCTGCTGCTGCTGCTGCTGCTGATAGAGGGCACTCCCACCTCCACCGTCGCTGTTTACGACTCCTCCCAGCACCGAGGCGCTGGCGGCTCCTCCCCCTGGCGGCCCGTAATAATCCGACATTTACAAAACAAAATCCAAGTTTAGTTCTGCGCAAAAAGGGTGTGAGTGTGATGGTTTCTCTTCCTTCTCTTGCTAACTCTTGTCTATCATCTTTCACATCGATAGATAATAGATAGTGTCACCCGTCACCTGTCGTGCAAGAGTCGTTTTCGTAGGTAAAGAATGTATGGTACGATACTACCGTAGATGATGTTGGAAATTGGCACAATTGGCACACCCATTGCTTTGTCCGTACGTACGAGTACCTTACGGTACGGTACGGTAGTGCAGTCACTTACAGTACTGTACCGTACCGTACGAACTGTTCGCGGCACAGAATCGGAGATGCGAGGTCCGTACGGTATGGTACTAGGATACGGTACTAGGGTACGGTACAATACGTTCGCCCGATCTCATTCATTAAAGTACGTAGTGATCGGGACTAAAAATCCAGGCGGTCAGACCAATCCCCACTGAAATAAAATTGAGAATCGGCTTTTGCATCGTCTGTACGTCGACAGAGAGTCGAACATCCGAACGCAACTTTCCGTCGTTACCGTATGGTACCATACGTACCGGTAGGGCGGCACGGCACGGTACGAGAACGAAAATGTTGCTCAGCGTCGAAACGCGGCGATTAGTTTTGGTTGTCAAGTTGGGTTTTGTGATAGATCGATTGCGACACCCACCACCAACAACAACACCAACAACAACATCATCGTCGTCGTCCCATCTGGAGGTAGCAGTACCGTAAACCACAGTGTCCCTATCGCGGTTCTCCCTCACATTTCATCTTATCGAATTGAGCACTCTGCGAGCAAAAAGCCAGCGACGACATCTATTGCATCAATTGATTTACTCCCGTAATTCTTCTCCTTCACATCGCAGCGATGATGAACCGGCATATCTTCTCGGCTGCCTCGAAGAAATTCGGACGGGGTAAGCTCTCCGCGCAGAGCGCACGTTCCGTCACGATGTTGTCTTCGGTGTCGGGATCGTCTGTCGCGAACGGAGCGTGTGCSATCGATCAACGGGCTTCCTTCGCTGCGAAGCACAACAGCAGCAAGGACAACGCCACTGCCCTTGTCCGCAGCTTCTCGAGCATGTCACTGAGACGCCCACCCGCGAAGCACAGCCAAGGCAGAGGCAACGGCAACGGAAAAGGGGACAGAAAGCAAAAATGGAGGTCGCACGCGGTGTCCCTGGATTTTGGCAACTACCAGGACGACTTTGCAGACGACCAGGACGATGAGTACTATTACAGCAACACCGATGCCGCGCTGGCTTCTCCCGATGCAAGAGGMGGTGGSTCCTCCTCCTCCTGGCACGAGGAAGAATCTCAACTGGCCGAGAAKGTCCAGGAAATTCAGCGCCAGGAGGATGAGCGCCGAAAACGCTGGCTGGAAAACGCGAAACCTCCGGTCCGRCGCCCAATCATCGACGAGCGGGGCCGGGCCTACGGCCGCGGTGGCCGCAAGACGGCATCGGCCCGCGTATGGATCCAGCCCGGCTTTGGAACTGTTGTCGTCAACAAGAAGGACTTTGTGGAGTACTTTGACCGGATGACGGACCGCGAACTAATCCTGGAGCCCCTGGCGGCTACGGAAACGCTGGGCCGTTTCGACGTTACGGTCACCGTTGAGGGCGGTGGATTGACCGGSCAGGCCGGGGCTATTCGGCACGGCTTAGCGAGAGCCCTCAACCATTACAATCCCGACGAATACCGTCCACCGCTGAAGCGCTTGGGATACCTGACCAGAGATCCCCGAAAGGTGGAACGAAAGAAGATTGGACACCTCAAGGCCCGAAAGAAACCACAATGGGTAAAGCGTTAGGTTCTTTATTAGTAACATGGTGATTGAGTCTATTCTATTATATTCTTGCGTGTCTCTTGTCTTGTAAAATAATATACTTCGAGTACTTAGCACTGCAGTACCAATATCGTACCCACAAGCTCGATTCTTTAACTCCAGGGTACCATACTCATAGTGTTCAAAATCTTGTCTGAAAAATCTTCATGGTTTAGGCCAGCTTGAAGGAGTTGTTACTCTTCGTTCACTTGCCAAGGATGTAAAAATGCATGATGCGACTGCTAATAACTCTATTTGTACAGTCAAAAGGAGTAAGTTAATTTATATTCATTATAGAGTGATGTAATTAATGATTTCAAAACATCCTAGAAGTCGCTATCATCGTCCGAGTCAGCCATAAAGGAGTCATCATCGTCAACAGCGTACACAACTGGTTTTTTTGTGGCTCTGGCAGCACGACGGGCCCGGGGTGGCGGTGCTGGTATGGTTTCGACTTCCATGTCGGAATCGGATCCATTATCACAGATAAAGTCTTCTTCATCGGAAGACTCGACCGGAAGTTTTTGTTTTCGAGATTTGGCTGGTGCTCTCTTCGGAGCAGTTTTTCTCGTTGCCTTTGCTTTCTTGGCTGGGACTGCCTTCTTTGAACCGTTTTTCGGGGATGGCCTCTTTGATCCCGCCAGAGAAGAATCAGAAGACGCACTTTTGCTGAGTTTGAGACGATCAAAAAGGCTCACTTCCAAACCATCATCATCTGACTCATCTACAGATACTGTCTTGGTTGGTTCTTCGATAACTTCTTCCGTTGCTTTGGGTGGAGCCTTTTTCGCTGCTGGTTTTCGAGCTCGAGCAGGGGCTTTTCTCGTTGTAGATTTTACCGCAGGGGTAAAGTCCATGTCTTCGTCTGATTCGTCATAAACATTCGGTTCCTCTTTCTTTTTCTTAGAAGCTGGTCTCTTGGGAGCAGCCTTCCTTCTTGACTTCATGGCCTGGCGCTTGGCGGTTTTCTTCTGTGCATTCAGCTCGTCTTCTTCTGCCTCTTGCATTTTTCTGTCACGCTCATCAAGCGCTACCTCGATTGCTTCAAGATCTCTCATCCAAATATCACTTGGTTCAGTAGCCTCTAATTCTTCGAGCTCTGCAGTTCTCTCAGCGAGCTGCTTACGAAGTTCCTCTACCTTTTCGAATGTCAAGTTCTGAAAATGAAAAGTTTTCGAGTCAGCATCTATTTTTTCAAAACATGAGACGAAAAACATGAAAATACTCCCCAGAAGGGGGGACTTACCCAGAGTTTCATCCCCAACAAATATTCATAGCCTTTTGAAAGCTCCGAAGTAGAGCTGGGTGCTTCGTTTTCGTCGTCTGCGTCATCATCGTCACCAGTCTTCTTGTCAAAAAGGTCATATCCACGGGATTGAAGATCTTCTAGCAATTCTACCTTCTTGCGATTACTGACAATAAGATCTCCATTGCACACTTCCTCGACAAATCTAGCCTTGTTCGACAGCATGTTTTGCTCTTTACGCAGGTTTTTCACAAGCAGCTCCTTACGCTTGATGTAAAATTCCATGCGCTTTTCGAAAAATGCAACCAAAATACCCTCGGGCTTAGGGTGCCTGACAATTCTGTTATCGGTGTCGAAAAGATTCATGTTGTTTGTGGTTGTAGAACCAATCAACTTGAATTTTGCATACAATCCGCCCTTTGGTAGTTTTTCCCATGCATCAATCTTTTCTCTTGACGCCGTAATCGTGAAGCTCACAGTGGTATCCGTATGGTTTTCAACGAAGTCCTTAATGTCTGGTTCTGCAGATTTAGCGTCGGGAGCAAGCATCTTTTCAAGGAAAATCTTACAGTTTTGTGTCCAAGTTCCAATTGGTAACTCGGTGATGTCCAGTGTAGTATCATCCGTTCGCTTGATAATACCCCTGCACGAGTACCTTCCACCAGTTTCGTGTTTAAAATCGCCATTAAAACCACTGTAAAATGGATGCATTTCCTCCAATGGTTCGTTGTTGATCATATTGCGGATATTTTTGATTATCTGACGTGGATCGTAGTTCGGAATCTTGGACATCCAGCCGGTTCCGATTCCATCCGATCCGTTTACTAAAACCATTGGGATTACAGGCATATAATAGTCTGGCTCAATCGACAATCCATCATCTGATAAGTAATTCAGTAAACCATCGTCGTCTGGATGGAAAATGGCTCGAGTGATCTTTTCAAGCATAGTAAAGATGTAACGGGGGGATGCTGCATCTTTACCGCCCATACGACGAGTACCTGCGAGAAACATAAGAGTTAATTGTGAGAAACTGGAGCATGGGAATTTCTAGAAACAACTTCCTGGTGCATAAAATTTCCACAATGGCTTACCGAATTGACCTGAAGGTGTCAATAGATTGATGTTGTTCGAACCCACAAATGACTGTGCCATATTGATAATCGTTGTGTGAAGCGATGCTTCGCCGTGGTGATAAGCCGAATTTTCTCCGATATACCCCGCAAGTTGAGCTACCTTGATTTCATCTTTGAGTTTTCGTTTAAAGCAAGAGAATAATACCTTGCGTTGCGAAGGTTTGAAGCCGTCCATAATGTGGGGAATTGAACGCGCGCAATCGGCCTTTGAAAATAGGATATACTCTTGATTAATAAATTGTGAGTACTTCAGTGCCTGTCCTTGTGCTGCTGCATAATCAAGAAATGTATTTTTTTTTAGCTTTTGAAGCCAATCTTTACGATCGTCTGAGCGTTTCTTGTTGAAGACCATATCAATAAGACTAGCTCCGTAAGAGGTCGCAATGTCTGGCACTGGTTCAGCATCAAGTATGATATCATCGTCATCGTCCTTCTCTTCTTCCTTGATATCAAGAGACAGTTTTTCAAATGCAATTTCGTGAAGATCAAGATTGCTGAAGTATTCCTTTGCATCAGCAGCAGTAGAAGTACCAAGCCCCTTATAATACTTGATTTTCCATCCTTTCCCGTCATTTCCGGTTGCTTCTCTCCAGTTCTCGTACTGCGGGAGAGTGAAAAACGTCTCAGATTTTTTGCCCTTTGTTACTTTCACGATGGGAGTAATGAATTGCTGTAGGAAGCCATCGATATTCAGCAAGGAAGGCCCTACAAGATTGAAAAGTAACACAATATATAAGTGGTTCGTTCGAAAACACACCACAAAGACGGAGACAACATATACATCAATAGCTGATACTCACAGAAATTGTGAATGAAGTTGATTATCAAACCTTTGATGTGTGATCCATCATGATCTTGGTCAGCCATTATCATCAAGTGACCGTATCTAAGTTCTTTCATATTCTCTTCGGTGTAAACCGTGCCGTACTTCAGACCCAGGATGTCTACAACGTTTTTTATTTCTTCGTTCTTGACAACTGCAGCATGAGTTGCATCACGAACATTCAGGGGCTTTCCTTTTAAAGGATAAACTCCATAGAAATCGCGTCCAATGACAGAAAGACCAGACATTGCCAACGATTTGGCCGAATCTCCTTCTGTTAGAATAAGTGTACACTTTCGAGAATCTCTTGACCCAGCTTTATTGGCATCGTCAAGTTTGTCAATGCCTGTTAGTTTGATCTTCTTTTTCCCGTTGTTTTTCTTCAGTTCTCGATTTTGCTTAAACTTAGCGAATGCTAGAATGTTTTCTACAATATCACTTTTTGCAACTTGTTTGAGGAACTTATCCGATAGCTTGCATTTGTTATTGAAATCAGCTTTGCGATTGGTTAAAAATTCCTTGGTCTGACTAGAAAACGTAGGGTTGTTGACAAGACAATTGACAAACACACAAAGATGATTCTTGATCTGGGCATTGGTAATCTTGGCTCCTCCCTTATTTTTCTTCTCTATGCTTSTAACAAGTGACTTAGCTACCTTGTCGGCAACAAAGTTTACGTGACTACCTCCTTTGTAGGTGCAGATAGAATTCACGAAAGAAATTTGCATGAAGGCCCCATCTTGTGACGAAAGAGAAACTCCAACTTCCCACATGTCGTCCACCTTTTCGAAAGCACATGGTGCATTGACATTTTTGTAGATTTTGATGTAATCTTGGAAAGATTTGATAGGAAGCTACACCAATCAATAAAACAGAGGGACAACGGAGAAAAAACCATCGAGGATAAATTATTCAAACCAAGGAAAGAATTTTTAGAATCATGTGACATCGCGTACCTGCAACATAAAATGCAATTTGAACTTACCTTCTTTCCATTCAGGGAGACGACCAACCTCTTGCCCTCACTGTTGGCCATCGACCCAGCAATGTCATAGACACGTTTCGAAAGAAGACCCACGGTGTCATTGGTGAGAACTGTCATTCCGAATCTTGCAAGATCAGGGGAAAAAGTGATTTTTGTGTAATCTCCCTTCTTCTTCTCGGCAGCCGTGCACTTCTTGACCACCGGTTCGCCGGCATGCCCCATATTCTCAGTAAACGTTTGGACAAACTTGACCCCTTTCGAAGAATCTAGACATTCAACAATAAACTTGGTGCTGAAAATGTTTGCCAGCTTTGCCCCATAGCCATTGCGTCCCCCGGTCGTCTTTTGTTCATTGTCATCGAAGTTTGAACCCGTCAGTAAGTGACCAAAAATCAAGGTTGGAACGTAGCAGTTTTCTTCCTGGTGGAGTTCTACAGGAATCCCTTGTCCATTGTTCCTCACAGAGATTTCATTGGTCTCTGCGTCGATAGTAACGTCGAGTTTGTCCATGTTTGGGTCGCGCTGTTTGTTGTCTGCGGCATTCACAATGACTAAATAAACGAAAGGAGAAGGAGGAGAAAAGAAGCGGTGAGATGAACAGTTGAGATTTGACAACGAGAAGCGAAGTGATGCTATTCATTGTTCTACAGTAGTTTTTCTGGGAAAAAAGCATACGACATTCTTACTTTCGTCGAAGATCTTGTACAGACCAGGTGTATAGGTGATTACCTTCTCGACAATAGCATCTTGGACTGTGTCGTAGATGAACGCTTTGTCTTCTGTAGGTTTGTCGGACCCAATGTAGGTGTCAGGACGAAGCAGAATATGCTCGAGTTGAGTTTTCTTTTGGTACCTTTCTTCGATAGTCTTCGTTTTCTTTGATCCATTGTCGGGTGCTTCGGCCTCGATGTTCACAGCGTTCTCGTTCCTTGCAGAAAGTACAGGCTTTTTCTTGGAGGCTGCCTTGCTCTTAGAAGTAGTCTTCTTAGCCGGCGCCATGACAATGTTTTCGTCATCGTCCATCACGAAGCTTTCGTCGTCTTCGTAGTCAATTTCATATTCTATAGATGCCATGATGTTTCTTGGTTGTCGTTTGATTTTCGGTGCTTGTTGGCTGTTGCTTAGTCGATGAATTTCTTCCTTCTTCTTGTGTGGTGTGATTGATGACTACTCCAACTGATATTGTGAGCAGAAAAGAGGGGTAACGGTGGAGTACGAGCAAAAGATAAGAAGCATCGTTACATCGAGAGCTTCCACTGGTATAACAGTAATTTATTTTTCCCGTTGTTTCGTGTTTTCATGCGAACTATCTTTCGTACCGTGGTAGGAATCCACGGTAAAGATAAATAAGTACCGTACGTAAAAGTGTACCTATTCTCCTTCAGTACCGGTACTTCTTCTATCGTGATGGGATTGGAATGAAGTTTTGGCCGTTGCCGTAGTACGGTACGGAACGGATCTGGTACGGATATCGTTGAACAAGTCTTCGTAAAAAAATACTTGTAAATACAGTAATTACACGATCGTTGTTTAGACCGCGCCATTGATTTTTCCGATCGTTTTTTTTTAACCAACGGCAACAACAGTTCTCACGCGCCGGATGAAACAATAACGGCTACTATTTTTTACCTTGCTGATTTCGATTTTGACAGGATTGAATTTTTTTGTTGGACTAGTACGAGTACGTACGTTTTGCAACCCCATTGGGTGATTCCCAAAAACATAGATCTGTGTAAATTTTGGCACGCCCGGCTCGCATTATGACCCAAAATACATAAAAGTTGGTTGYCGTGGGCCCACGACAACCAACTTCTATGTAATTTACATATTTTTTAATTGGAATCCTTGACTTAACCATTTCCAGTCTCGGGAGCAGGAGGCGCACCCTAAACTGGCGGCAAACTTCTTTCAATTCAAGAAGTGTCAAGAAAAAGCGCAATCATGCAGGATTCCAAATTCCAAAAATGGAGGGAAAATATATAAGTTGAGCCGGCCGGCTGTGCCTTCAGTACCACTGAAAGTGATTCCCGAAAACATATCGTAAAATATGTTTTCGGGAATCACCCATTTCTAGAATTTTTTTAGGGGTGTGAGCCTAAATCATGAGTAGATAGTGAATAAGCTCACTCTTTATTGTAAACACGTAGTTATTTGGCACTAAAGAACRCACATACATTTTGGGCTCATTGCAAGGGGACTCCTGTTAGGAATTCTACCTAAAATCCCCTACCAGAGGCCACCAATGTGTAATAAAATTCTACCAGATTTCTAGTAATGGTATCTACCAAGCAGTAGTATCAACACCTCAGCTGTGGTGGGTTGTGTTGATATTGTTCCAGTATTTCAAATATGTGAGACGAGGAGTTAACAACAAAGTTGAATGAAGAAACAACCGGTTTTGCAGCAACTACTCATCCTCTAGTACTAGTAGTACTAGTACTACTAGTAGGCAACTGAATGGAGATCTTGTTCTTCTTCCTCCCTTCTTCTTGTCTGGGGGTACTTGTATTATTAGTACTAGTACAAGGAGAAGAACAAGGCACCGCCACTGCCATATTTCATGCCAACGAACAAACTACTACTACTAGTAGTAGTAGTACTCCACCAGTGAACTCTTGTTCGTGACAATCCTACCAAGTCACCACAGCAACAACAAGTAAATGATCTAGTTCATTCTTGTGACTATTATCAAGAAAAAAAAACAAGAGGACYCCGGAGAATCTGGAGTAGTGTGGACGAGAGTCCACTTACAAAGAATAGAACCGTAATGGAATCAATTAAGATACTACTCAGTGATGATCAAGCTCCAGTTTCATCTGATTAGACAAAATGATCACACTGCTTATTTAGGAAAAAAGCAGACAGCTAGCAGCTTGCTGCAAACCAACCTGAAGAGGGAAATTAGAAGGAGGTACCAGTTCCTGTCAAATTATTCTGCTGCTTTGACTCCTCTTCTAAATTTTTCTTTCAAAAATTATGGCTTTTATTGCATCAACAATATTTAAACCTGAATCTTTTGAGTTACAATGCAATTGATATCAAAGTGAAATTTGCAACAACACGTACAAATTTTCTCATAATTGAGTATCATAACCACTGCTGGATACTTTTTATTGTCAAACCTTGGCTCATCCTGCTAATCCTTCCCAATCACTTCAAACCACTTTTCTCAATTTTTTAATCCAGCAAAACCAAAATACTCTGAAATTTATCTGCTGGTCATGCCTCTGTTACTCCTTCTTGGAGGGAGGTGCTACCCCTTTCTGGAACACCTAGTACAAGAATTATTCTTCCCAGAAGTTCTGGTCCTGGCCCACATAGTGCCTACTCTAGTTCACAAGGTGAAATATTCAAATCTACAGAGGTCTGGGTATAATCCCTGCTAGCTCTATTTCTTGTCTTCTTGTGCCATTATTAACAAAACATTTGATCACAATGTCAAGAATAATGACTCTAGTCCTTGGTCCTGCCTCCACCTAACCTCTCAAAGGGACGAGGTGCTACCCCTTGGAGCAATCAGGAGGATTCTTCTCCTCAGAAGTTATGGCCTTGGTAGTATTCATAGTGCCTCTCTTAGTTCACAAGGCTAGACATACTAGTTTTATGATTTTCTTTAAATGACTCAAGCCGTTGCAGCATCTCCCAAAATATAGCTCTGTAGAATGTAGCACAATTATAAGATAAAAACTTCAAATTAAAGCTTAAAATCAACAATGTTACTGCATATTATTTATGTTTGCTGGGTGGTTTCAGCGGGTACTGGTTTCATCTCCCATCATGGAAGATCCTGCGAGAAATTTCTAGAAATAGCTGAGACTAGCACTTTCAGCCATACAATTACTCCACTATGCCAACTTTGATAGATGCAAATGTGTATGATACTGTAGGCTTATTTTGGACTCCACATTCCGAGACGTGTCTCAAATTGCAAGCGCCGCAGCTTCTCCGCTCGATCCAGCACCTTTTTCTCCAGCCTTTTTAAATATTCATCCCACAACAGGCATGAGCATGGCATCACAAAGAAGGCCAGTAGAAAGTAATGCCACGGCAGCGATGAGAAAATTATGCGATCGATGGTAAGCAAGAGATAAACTGCAATGCATATTGAGGCCGTGAAAACAGACAAGGCCCAAAGATTGTTCCTCTTCCACGGGGGTTCTTCCCAGATTGRAAGAATCCGAAATACGAAGGTTGTAGAATTTATTATAGTCAACAGAGCCAATTCGGCGAGACTGAGATGTACAGCTGCGTCTCGCGCAACWCCTGAATACTCATTGAGCTCACTACATCGTATCACAGATAACCAATTTTCCGGACTGGAGTTCGAGGTGCATTTGAGCTGGATGATTTCTTGTTCATGCTGGATCATCAGTTCGCCAAAAGCAATCAAATAGAGCAACTGCGGAAAGATTGCTGGAGGTAAAGCTTTCAAGAAACAAACTAGGGAAAAGAATTTACCTTCCTTTTTCCCAAAGCTGACGGAGATATCATTCTTGGGAGGTACTTTTTGCATATATTGCCTATCAGGATCGCTCATGCAAATAGGGAAGCCCACCAGGGGGAGTATCACCATGAGATACAGGGCTGAACCAATGATAGGAACATATGGAATTGTCGTCGCCACGGAGCATACTGTGAAGGAAATGTACAACGCGAAGGAAAGATAACCATGCAAGAAAAAGACTGCAGCAGAAGTAGCAGCTCGTAAAGAAGCGCGTCCTTGTGCAAGGATGGTTGGTATGTGCTCGATTGAACGAATTCCCTCAAGCCGAAATGCGCATGAATGTGCTGATATAGCCGAGGCAAAAATGACCTCAGATGGAAGAAGGGTGTTGTATTCAAAGTTGTCTGGAATTGCTTTTCCTAGACATTCGCTTAGCATATCAACTCCAATGGCAAGATCAGATGTAGAGAATATTTTTGAATTTCTTGGCAAGTGTGATACTCCCACAGCTATCACTGTATCGTTATATTCTTGGAAAATATCAATCTTCAGGAAGATGCATTGTGGCCCAACACCAATTGTAAGGTGGTCAGATGAAAAAGAAGAAGGGCATTGTCGTCGATTGCTGACTGCAATTCAATTTCTTACCATTTCTGCCGTTGTATCTTTTGTAGCATCCGTGAATAGACTGACCAAAAGCGGTACATTGTCCACATCTTTTAGGTGTCTTCGAACACTATCGACACCATGAGGAAGTTTAGCATTGACGTCCCAATCTGCATAGTTTGATACCATTCTGTGCGGGTCGTCTTCACCCTGCACAAGCGTCCGTAATGATATTGCGCAGTTCCAAGCGACGTCAATTCCCATTTGAGATGCAAGCTCTTTTTGTCGTCTCATATTTCGGGGTGAGAAGTACACAAATCTGACTCCAGCATCTTGCAAAGTGCTCAACAATCCCTGAGTTTCAGATCTAGGAATTACGATAGATCCGAGAATGCCCAGGAATATTTGGTTCTGCAGCATTGTCCATTCCGCTGACGCCCCTTTTTTATCTTTTTGGAACGGCAATAACACCTCACTCCGTGGATCATTGTCCATCAAATAAAACTAATCGTCAAAAAGAATCAAGAAGACGTGAGCAAGCTCGAAAACAAATTTGTCGTCTGTGCAGAGAAACTATGTAGACTGTTTTGCAAATGTACGTACTGTTGACTCCATATTTTCTGCACATCGAGATTCAAATGTATGCGGAATCGGCGCATAGCTAAARGCCTCGACATCTAAGTCTGAGAGCTTCCAACTATCACTAGTTTCCAAAATAGTTGACCGATCATGAGATGATAAAGGGAGGATTGTGGAATTTTCGCCCTGCCAGGCCTCATGACACATACGAGTAACAACCTTTGGATCCCCCACCGTCAAAAGTTGATATGCACCGTAGCGGCTGTCTTGTACAATTACAGAGGTAGAATCAGCACGGAGCAAGCCCCACCATCTAGATTCCTCCGATCCTCTTTCGTGAGAATCAATTTTGAACCTTTCCCTAAGTCTTGCTATATCAACTATGTGCAAACGGTGTTTTTCAGAGAAGGGACTTATATCTCCTCTGCTTCCAGAGTTGTTTTTCTTCGTGGAAAAACCAATGCATCGCGCAAGTGATCGTAACTGCATACTATTTCGCTCTTTGCACACGAGGCGAGCAAGTCCTGCCTTGCATGATTGCAAATCATGGCTAATCAGGCTTTCGGATAACGAAGCTTCAGATCTTCTTGCCGGCAATTTATTTTTCTCGTCTACTAGGTGGCAAGCAAGACCAATGCATTTAAGGGACGGAAGAAATTGCCACCATCCTGGGTCTTCGAACTGTACCTCATGGTCTGCAAGCTCCGAATCCGAGTCATCTTCTTCTGCCTCCCGAGCTCGTTGTGCACTGACACGAAACGTTTTACGTAGTAAACGTCTCCGGATTTTTTTGTTGGAAGGGACACGGTGATGATCTTTCATCATTCCATCATCCGAGTCCGAGTCCGAATCATAGTTCATTTCAACATCAAACGATCGTTGCCTGTTTCGTCGATAATCCACAGATGAGGAATCTTCTCCCTCACTTTCGTCCTCGCTTTCATCTTCATAGGTAGGGCACAAATCAAGGAGTTTCAAGCCTTTTCCCGATGGAATCAGCAGCTGTTGAGGTATGGCTTGCGGTTCGCAAACCAACTCGTCATCAACCAGAGTGAAGGCAGTTGCTACTCCCAATTTTTCTACCAAATTCAGTGATGCTGGAGGCACCCAAACCATGGATGAATTCCAGCTTCTTGGTTTGCTCTGTTTGGTTCGACAAAATATGGGTTGGAAAATTTTGTATAGTTTTTCGCCAAGATCCTTTAATGATAATCGATTCGATAAAGTCGCAAGAAAGTATCGAAAAATGAGAAGATCAACGTTGACGCTACCAGATGCTGCGTCTGAAGAATTCTCCATTCGCGTGCGACTAGCTATTGGATGGTAGGCTGCTAAAATCCTTGCTGTTCCCAACGCCTCAATGAATATTAAGCATCCAGGACCGATCACTGGCAAGACTGCTATAGCAGCAAGAAATGGCGATGGCAACAAATAAGAAAGATTAGAGGAAAATTGGTGATATCGCCCCAGAAGTATGGCAGTCGTCCAGACAAAAACGAATATTGCAACTAATGACAGTGCGCCTCGAACTGAATCGAGCTGCCTGGAAATTTGAGTCTTTTTGGATTCACGCTGTGGTTCTCGCAGGAATGATTCTAGCGGAGTTTCGAGTACTTCAAAGAGGCGTACATCGTTGCATAGTCTCAGCAATCCATCGGAATCGTGTGAGGGAAGAGTCGTTCGTCCCCGGCTGAGTTCCTCAACGAGAGAGCTCACACTTTCACCGGAAGAGCTCTCTAGCGTGATTTCTTGCCCCACTTGAAAGAAGGTCAWTGATTTCTTCCCTTCTAGAACCCTGCATTCGGCTGGGACACTATCACCAACTTGTAAAGCTATTCTGTCTCCTTTTACCAACAACAGAGTGGGAATCCGACTCCAAGATCCCTCACAAGCGTTCTTCTCTGCGCAAATGTTCTTCAAACGATATACAGGATATACATCAGTCAGAGATGTCCCAACCAAGTCGATGCCATTATTTTCGTGTTCTATTGTTGCGACATTATTGATAACGCATCKATCTTCTTCTTCGTTGAGTTCCTCAAGAAATTTGGATATCATTCTTCGTTTTAAGCTCTCCGTTCCGTGGGAGGCCGAGTATCGATATCGCACAACAAGCAAGACGTTAGAGATATATGCCGAAAAAATGAGAGTCGCGCCTGCCAATTGCGACCGAGCAAATGAGATTTCTCCTCCGTTGTTATCGTTGTCGTTGCTGCTGATATGGGAGGTGAAGGTCAATGCAGAAACGACCAAAAGTGCTACCGAAATGCAAACGGCACAGAATACGACATCCAAATCCCATTTGTAGCAAAGGGAAATTAAGAAAGGAGTCGATAGCCTATAATTTGCATTCGTTTCGGAAGGATGGACCGTGTTAATCGACGTTCTCAGGTATTCTTGAAGACTTGTTTTGAGGCGAGTTCTGGCCTCTCTCCATGATAAAGGCGATGGAATGCCGTTCTTCGAATTATTGCCATCGCACTTTGATGGTGTCATATCAATGCTTCAGTCTTTGGAAGCAAAGCTCCGAACCTGGTGATAACGATTTGTCATTGAACCTAATGAATCTCTCGATCCTGAAGATGATGATTTATGAAATTATGGTACTGGTCCAGTTGTTCGAGTGAATAGTAGTAAATCATAAATCATAGCTTACTGTATCTATCAGCGGTCGACATCACAACATACAGTAATAATTATCATGATCCCAAAAATCATATCAAAACTGATGAAAACAAAATAATTGAAAAATGTTCTCTTAGTTGCGTTCAGTTCGTACTGGGAGGTACGAAGTACCTTTTACGTACGTACGGTAGATAGATGTAATCAAAAAATCTTTGCACTTTAGTTTTTAGGGGGTTACCGAATTTTTCTTCCCTCCCCTTTTTGTAACTTGTCTGAGTTCGCGCCAGGAAAGTTCAGAGATAGGTTCCCCAACGTCTTCTTCGCGCCCGAAATTAAATGAAAAAAGAGCGTGCATCACCGTATGCAAACCGAGTGCCGTTCTCCGTAATTATGGTACTCAAAATACGCTACGGTGAAGTGCGTACGGGTACGTAAAATGTGAACGGAAGTCCTCATTCGGTAGATGCTCAGAATTTTCTTTCTATCACATACCAATAGGCAGCGACAACTAAGCTGGTTTGTATTCGGTATTTGTCGGCCCGAATCCAAATCCAAACTTTCAATACCGCTCTGTCACCGTCGTTAGTTAAATAGATAACAAGTACATCAGCGATGCCTACCCTCATGGCCTCGCAACCGGTAGGGTTGAAATCCAGCACTGCACCACTTGGGGCAGTCGCTGCTGCCTCCGCCTCAATCACGCTAAGCTTCGACGGGGTTGACTTCAAGCTCTGCCCTGACGATGACGATTCAGAGATGTCGTACAAAGCGAAAGCAGATAGAGTAGTGCTGTCCTTAACAAGTTTCAGTGGGACCCTGACGGTATCGAAGTCGATGCTCTCGTCGTTATCGCGTAGCATACAGTCAGTGTCCACAGCAGGTCCCACGTTACTGTCGACAAGTGTGACAGCCGTAGCTCCAACGGTCGAAGACGATCCTGATTCCCCCGACCAGCACCATAAGAAGTCACGAAAGAAGGTCTCGCCATCACAAAAGACGCTTCCTTTCAAGAGTGGAAACAAGAACAAAAAGACCACAAAAGGCAGCAGCAATGATAAAGACGAAACAGCTCGCAAGCGACGCACCGATTCCAAAACTTCTCAGACTCCTCAGGCGACACATTCGAAGAGAAGTCGTAACGCTATGGAGATCAGCCTTCCGCTAATCAGCTTGGGCCAGGCCAGTCAACCCACTCAACTGACGCAAATGGACACAGACGTCGACCATTTTAACGACGCTTCTATACCTCCTTCTGCTGCCAACAGTCACGTTGAGACGAAGACCACGGTGACGAAAAACACCTCGGTTCAAGACATCCTCGATCGCGACGGTATTCAAGGAAGCGGGGACTCCGTTGCAACGATGAAGGATGGCGATGACTGTGGTATTGATGTGGGAATGGAAATTGTAGATGGCGATATCTCAGCTACTAACGCAGATGAAAAGAACGTCAGCGAGGAAGCCATTACCAATACCATTGACCCGKAGAAAGCGGATCCTGGTACCGGTGCTTTTTCGTACCCGGCACCACCCGCCCGCTGGGGGCACACAATGACGCAGGTAGAGAAAGGCCAGATCTTAGTGTACGGAGGACAATCCTTTGATCTCAATGGCAATCCCGTCATCTTGTCAGACGTTCATGTATACGACCCCAAAAATGGAGGATCGTGGCACAAACCCATCAATTGTCGTGGTGAAGCGCGACAATGGCACACTGCGACCTATATTCCCGGCAGACAACAAATTATCGCGTTTGGCGGTGAAACAATCGACCCTATCAAAAAGAAAGGGGCCAAAAAGGACAAGGTAATCACCAGTGACACTCTCCGCGTTCTAGACACGGAAATCATGCTGTGGTATCCTCCGGCCGCTTCTGGGGACGTTCCGACGGGTCGAAGTGGCCACACAGCGACGTTCTTCCCATCTACGAATGAATTGATCCTCTTTGGTGGTGTCCGTGGTTCCAAGTGGCTCAACACGGTCAGCGTCTTGGATGTCACTCGCTGGATATGGACGACACCTCACATCGTCGGAACGGCTCCAAAACCTCGATCCTATCATTCAGCCACTGCGGTTGGACCTCAAAAATTAGTTGTCTTCGGCGGAAACAACAAGACCAGCTGTTTCAACACTGTCCACGTGCTAGAGGCAATCAATGAYAATGATGGGAATAGCATGAACCCCGACAGCGAAGGAGGTAGTATTGGTTGGAAATGGTCGAATCCTACTATTCGTGGAAATGCTCCCTTTCCTAGAACGGGACACACGGCGACGCTTTTAGAAGATGGGAAGACGATCATGGTCTATGGAGGCTGGGATCCAAACGAGGAAGACGAACTCACTGGGGAGGACAATATTTTCAAAGGAAGCTATCTCTTGGACACCCACGACTGGACCTGGAAAAGGGGGCCCGATCCGCTGTCTGGTGGTAGTGGAAGCGCCAATCACATCGTAGAAGATTGTGGGGCAAAGAGGTGCGGTCATACTGCTGCTTTGAACGCTGAAAACGGGGAGGTATTTGTATTCGGTGGAAGAATCCCTGGTGAAGTATTAGCAGGAGACGTGCAACGATTGACTCCTCCCCAAGAGAAAACATTGCAGCTGGAGGGTTCTTAAATGGTCAGAAATGTTCCGGATCAAATCGTTAGCACAAAGCGCGATGACTGCAATTCGATATTCGTTTGGCAACAGAAATTGAAACTTTTCAATTTTATTGCATTTATTGTCTTGAGGAACAGAAAAAACATCATTAGTAGTGTGCTCGTTATCATTATTTAGTCTTAATCCTTGGGTCAGCTGAGGACAAAATACTCGGAAATCTAATCTCTACTGTACCGGTACGGTGTTGTACGAACTCGCAGAATGAGAAGCTCTAGAAGGAACATTGAATTGCATACAACACAATTAAATGCTTTTGGAAATCAAACTTCACTACTGATTATCGAAGCTTAATCTTGTAATAATCGCATGCGCAAAAAGGCCGAATTCACGTTCTGGACGCGGCAGGTCCAAGTACTTTTGCGATTTTCAAAATAACGAAGTATCCACTTAAACCTTCCTCTAGAAGGTTGCTTTCAGTATATGGTTCTCATCCTTGGAGAAACCAATACGTCATTCTAAATGGAGTATACCTTTGCCGCTCGCAAAATGATGAAGGATCGATAATCTCTTGTACATGGTAGTATTTGGAAGTGAGAAATCCAAAATACTAACAGTTTTCATTACTTCATCGCCCTTTCCGAAGGTATCCTTTCCATCATCCAACATAGATTTGATGTCGTAGGTATCAACTCAGTCTTCATATCTGCCAGACTGCGAACATTCATTAGCAATCACAGATAACCTCTTCGGAAGTCCAAGAAGATTGCAGTCTCAAACTAGCCTTATCAAATGCTCCTAGAATAATGGAAGGATCAACATCGAAAGTGACAAGTGTCAATCGGGGACGGTAACAAGGCATTCTCTGATTTCAGTGGATTCACCATGTCGGAAGAAGTTCCGCCATAGCAACTATATCCACATCATTGACCTGCATTTGCTGACCCCCCGATCTTACACCAACCGTGTAATGAGCAGCTACAAGCCGCTCACTTTGACAGGAAGATAAACAAATAAAGGGTTGCAAGGAGATTCGATGTTGAGATTCGATGATATGTTATCGTGATTTAAAATAGATTCATCATATTAGAACTTACCTGGACAGTTGGTTTGCCCGGATCATCCCATGCAGAAACCACACTTGCGGGAAGGAGAGATGTTGCCATCGGTTTCAATCTCCATGTTGTCCAATCCGGAATCAAAGCTAGATTCCATTCCCATGAAGGCAGGGGATCCCTCGGATGGGACCTGGTAGGGAGCAGCGGGACGATAGAAGGCAGAGCTTCCACCGACAACGACGGCTAGAAAGAGAGCGAAAATGATATGTTTGATCATGGTAAAAGGGTACAAATCGTCTTTTGATTTGATGCGCTATGAATAAATGGGAAGAAAGATGTCTATTAAAGAATGCATTTARGCTTGAGAATGCAACCATATCTTCTTGATTTTGTCAACGTTGACGTCTCGTACATTTCCCGTTGAATTTCTACTGATCCTTTTTCCTTCTTGATTTCGAATTACCATAGAGTACGGTATTTTTCTTGACATTTTTTTGTTCTTGCGAACGATCCCTACAAAGTATCGGTACCAACCATTAAATATGGTACGTATTTCTACGTACTTCATGAAATGGATTGTTGATTGTTCTTTCTGACGCACGGTGTTCGCTATCAAAGACACTAAAAATAATCCTAGTACAAATGAGCCTGATGATGCAGAATTTAGTATGAGAGAGATGTCACTACTCGTACGGCACGAACGCACGGGCACGGACCGGAGTACGAGGCACTCTACTACGCTACGTGCTCGTAGTGAACCAAATTTAAAAATACTGTCACTTCGTACTGTACGTACGTACCTGAGTATTACTAGTACTCGTACTTCTAACTTCTACTGCCTAAAGTCGAACTGGGGAAAAAATAATCTACTGTACCGTAGTACGGTACGAAGGTGAGGCTAAACGACTTACAGTAAATCAAGAGTATTGTGAGTGAAATCGTTCTTCAGTACTACTTGTACGTACAGATAGTAAGCAATCCTCGTTTTAATTCTCGAATCTAGTTGGCTACTGCAACAAAATCAATTTTTTAACCAGTACTGTAATGGATGCATTCTTCAATCTATTCATCCATGTTCTTTATCGCAGTTGCGATTTTAATCTTGCAGGAACATCAAAAAGCTGCATTCGTACCGACTTCCTGCTTAATCAGTCATGCTTTCGCGAGAACATATGAAACTCGGCTTGCTCCTGGCCATCACGCTGGCTTGCACAGGGTCACTCTTCACATCTCAAAGCATAGCAATGGGCAACCCCTCCATGCGCGTTCTCGCAACTGGAGTTGAAAAGTTCTGTATAGAGTCTCAAGAAAAGGCCATACATTGCGAAAAAAGTATGAAAAAAGATCCTATGGGCTCGTCGATGACAACTGAAAATTGCTCTAGTCACCAAAAGACTGCACAAAAGTGCGAGAAAGTGGTCCGGAAAGCCTTTCATGATATAAACATGGGTGGATGTCCAAAACAAATCAAGATATTGACTCTTTGTGAAGACGAATGGTGCCACCAGCACGACACTACCTCTTGCCAGAAAGAATGCGCAGTTGTTAGACAACAGTTATCGATTTGCGTAAAGCAACGCGTAATGCACCATTTCAAGCGGAATGGATTGAAAGAAAATGGGAGCTCCGCATGATATAGATCAAGGTCACAAGGACGAATTCTCTTCTACGGTGTAGAGTCTCWAAATTGAGCAAGGGGGCACGAAGAATTTAAACAAGCGTTTGAGGACGGCAAGATGGTGACGATACAGCACTGTCTTTTTCGTACGAGAGCAAAGCAAACAACCTAAGACGTCGACTGCAAATCTTGGGGCTCGTTAATTTTTTTGTTTGTTTATCACTTTCTTCAACTATCCCAATAATCATCTTCGAAAAGTTTCAGGATCTTTTTGCGCTGTAAAGCATCAGATCCTGACTGTTCGTCACTCCACGTGGCAAAGTCTGCTGCCTTCAAAACCGATGAACAAAAATGGCGATGAAATCATCAGAGAGTGTTACAAAAATACTATCGCCACTGTATCCACAATGCATGACCATAGAATACAGTAGCCACTCAACAAACTTACTAATTGCTTCGCCATCAGAATGTCGCCGTCGTCTTCAGTGGGGGCAATTTCTTGAAGCCATTCAACAACGTCGATTCGACTGAAGGCCACAGCATGAGTCAATGGCGTATTTCCTCCATAGTTCGGAACAAAGAAGTCCACACCGACGACTTCAAAAAGGTATCTGCAGACCTCAAGATTGCCTCCGCTAGCAGCCCAGTGCGCCACGGTGCAGCCATTTCGGTTAGAAAGATCCCATTTAGCACGGTATCTTACCATAAGTTTTACTGTGTCCAAACTACCAGACCAAGCTGCCCACATCAACGGTGAATTTCCGTCCTTCGTTTGTTGATTCACAAGTTCTTTGGCGCTTGTAACGATTTCRTCCTTACCGAGAGAATCTTTCTTGAGACGATCACATTCTGACAAGATGTGTTGGCATAAATGAAAGTGCCCCCCGGTACCAAATTCCCCGCTAGTTGCGCCGGCACATGCCCAATGAAGAGGTGTAGCACCATCTCGTTCTGTCTTTTCTAAAAGTCTGTCTGGAAAGTAAGGTAAAAGCGTTTCGAAAGCTTCTGCGTTTCCCGAACCAGCTGCCCAATGAAGTAACGTTGTCCCACGGATGTCTTTTTCCAAAGGATTGGCACCGTGTTTAATCAATAGTTCTAAAACCTCTTTAGACGTAATGTTGACGTGTTCGAGCGGCCAGGGGTTACTTGCTTGGACCAATTCACCTCTGCACGCTGCCATTAGCCCTCTGCCAAAAATAAAATGAAATGCTTCGATTTGTTTTGCTGTGATCTGAGCACGAGGAATATCACTGTTCCCCAATTTGTGTTCTTTTTCTCTCTGCCACTGGTTACACAAGGCACAGAATTGTTTGGTCCTWCGGCAAGATATCAAGAAGTCTTGCCACAGGGTTGTTGTTCGTTTGCCACCCCGATGCGTTTCATTTCTCTCGTCGTTGTCGTCTTTTCTCATAAGGAGAGGTAGACCATGAGGTAAATCCATATATTCTAGAAATGCATGACTCGGGGCTATTGTTTTTTCTAAACGCGCTCCAAAATATTGCGCTGGGATTTCATAATCTGATAGATTCATTATCGATAGTGTATCAGCATTTTTGTTTTGCCTAGGACTCCCATCTAGTGGCATTTCATCCCGGTTTGACTGCAAAATCGTCTCTTGTAAGAATCGTATCTTGGGATGAACGTGACGAGAAACATCTAGATCGAGAAGTGGTGGGAATGTTCGGTTCATTTCCATTACCTGTTCTTCAGAATAAAACGTAGTAAGATATTCGAGGGCTGTCACGTTTTCGTACAGGTGCGAAGTAGTTCTGTATAGATAGCGGAAAGCATGGTTCATCCGCCTAGCCGCACGCGGGCCAGTTGTTCGCTGTTCGTGTGGGCGTCTATCAATTGAGCCTTCGCCTGTGGAATGAATCGAAGGAGGGGAAGATTCTGGTATTGTGTTGTCGTCGAGGACCGACGCAGAAACATCTTTTGTGATACGACACTTGTGCTCGAGACGTTGCAATGGTAGGAATGAAGAGGTTGGCTCTACTAGAAGACCCAACAAAACAATGAGTATGGCCAAGCATATATTACGACAGTGTTGGTGTAGGTAATATCTGGTCTCCATCTTTACTGAAGCAAAATACTGATGTTGTCAGAATGAAGTTGGTGATTACTGTACTTCGAAGTACCCAAGTACTTCTCATTATTTTTCATGCTGGATACAGACAGAAAATTCGAATGAATCGAATGAAGAGTTGAGAATTGTCGGATGCAAATTTTTAGCTGTCGAGTTTGTGGTTTACGGTACGTTCGTACCTGTACTTCCGCAACGGCAGCGCAACGGTATGTACGATACGAGTTGATACAATACATACAGAATGCAGAACAGGAATCTGTACTGTACCGTACGTACTGTACGGTACGCTACGCGTATGTACATTTTCATATTTTGCACTACGGATGTAAAATCTCCCTTCATTACGGATTCTCCCCCCCCTTTTGAATCATGTTTTTGGTTTTTGTCCTTCAAAACTGAAAAATTATTAGTACTGCACTACAGTAAAAATAGTAATTTTCGTAAGTCATAAAGCTCGTACTAGGAGTACGGTACTACCTACTATTGCACCTTGGTCCAAAAACACTGTAATCAACCAAACACGTGTAATAAAAGGACAACATTTGACGAACATCAAATTTTGCCATTTTCTCGTATTTTCATACACCCCTTCAACTCTTACTTCGTTTGTCCATCTTAACACCTATTATTCAATCACAGTAAAACTTCTGTCAGTATCAACGAATTTTCTAAAAAGATGAACCGATTTGTCCTCCTCTTTCTTGCCATTCTTCAGTTGACGAGTGCCTTCGTGCCAGTGTCGAATTTCGGAGCTCGCTCTGTCGCTCTTTTCGCCGGTGAAGGTGATCAGGAAGGTGGTGCCGCGATCGCGAAGCCAAAGATCAAAACGGATCAGAAGACAAAAACCGTGCAAAAACAAAAATCTAAACAATCGCAGGAAGCAAAAACTCACGATCCAATTTCTCGACGGGAAGAAATTTTCGAGGAGGCTCCCATGTACAAACTAATGTTGTTGGGTGACGATTCTTACGATGTCGAACACGTTGTGGAGAGACTGTGTGCCATCGTCGATGATATGGACGAAGATCAAGCCCAGAGTGTCCTTTTAATGGCAGGTCCATCCGGGGAAGCAATGTGTGGAAAATATCCCATGGAAAAGGCAGAACTCTATAAGGAACAATTGATTCGGTCGGATCCAATGATTTACTCCGATATTAGAAACGAGAACGAGTAATTTTTTTCTTCAGAACTTGAACAGGGCAGGAACCTAATTGATTTGCGATGCATATCAGATTTTTTCTGCGAGACTTTTTTCTTTGGGCTTTGCAACAAGTCCAAACGTAATAGCTTAGCATAGCTAGGACTTCCCACAGTTGACCTCTCTAGGAAGAATAAATCATTCTTGGCAAGGAGTTTTTAATGATCAAATAGCATCTGAATGTTGAACGACGATATCATTGATTTTTAAATCATATTTAGGAAAAAATCGTGTCATGGAAACTTTCCCTTTAGTTTAAGCTATTTCTCTGTCTCCTCACTGGTTTGCCAGGCCGTCGGAGAGCGTTCGTTGACGGTTTGCGTTTGATAATTTCCATGTCGTTCTCGTTGTTCTGTTGCATCCAATCTTTCCCATTCGCATTATCTCTTACATCGTTGGATTCGATTGTAGAAGTCGAGCTCAAAAGACCAACCATTTCTGTTTCTAGTTCTAACGCGCCTTCGGTTGATGATTTGGGCGACAATCCAAGAGCTTCCATCATGTAATAAGTACCACCGCCCAAGACGAAGACTGTAAAAATGATGCACGCCGATGTCATTGCCTTGAGTTCCGATTTGAGTCGCGTTCCCTCCCCCGAAACGGCATCGTATTGCGGGATGTGCTCAACAAGGGCGAAAGACATGGCCCCTCGCAACCCGGCAAACCATAAAACCAATTGCATTTTTGAATCAATGATGACACCCGCTGCTTGATTAGGTCGATTTGATGGTGTATCTATTTGATGGGATTGCTGAGGAATTTCCTTCACCAAACAGACTTCTCCGGATTGTTGAAGCTTTGTGATCCAATTTGCAGTAAAACTTAGAGATGGGATCATTATTGCTCGGCTTAGACTGCAACCCAAAATTGAAATAAAGACATGGTTGAAATTCCAATGATACCGTGAACTAAACAAGAAAAGTCCGAGATAGGCAAAGATTGCGGTCTCCATCATGGTGGCAATAATTTCCGTGACGAACGTAATGTGCGTTTTCGCTTTATTCGACAAGAGCCCTTCTTTCGAGAATATTGGACGGCGCACTCTAGCCTGCCGTCTCCGTTCCTTTCCTTTATCTGAGTCACTTAAATCATTTGAATCTGTCTCATCGTTTACCGTGTCCTTGAGCTTTTCTGTCCCCACTACATACATGTCCATGATAAAACCAGCTGCCACCACTGCCACAATTCCCGACCATTCGATTCCATCGCAAACATAATATGGTAAAAGTGCCCAGCAACAGAACATGAGAACCTCCACAAGAGGTGTTTGGCAACCAAACATGATCCAATAGTAGAGTGTGCAGCATAGACCATATCCTATCCCAACCAATAGCGAGCCAATGAAGACCACTAAAAAATGGATAGTTGCTGCCGAGACCGCATGCACATCCACAACCATGTCATCGTCCAAGAAGTGTACTAACGTTTCGAACAGAACGATTGCCACTCCATCATTAAGAAGCGACTCTCCAAAGATTACAACATAAATTGTGTCTTGGTCGGTCATCCCCATGTTACTCAATACACTGAGCACAGCAATCGGATCGATTGATGAAATCAGTGATCCAAATGCCAAGGCTTCTGGATAGTGAATGGTTTCACAGTTGAGAAGTTTGCTTCCCTCTGATACAATTATAGCAGTGACACAAGTAGCTATCAAGGTCCCTATCACGGCATAAATCAAAATCGGAACAATGTGTCGCCTAAAGGATCGTTTGTCGATACTAAGAGCTGCTTCAAAGACGATTGGAGGTACCATGATTCTGAGAAACCATTTGCCATCGAAACTGATATCATGATGCGGGAAGAACGTCGAAATATATCCCGCGGAGACTGCAACAAGAGAACGTGGTTGGATTGATGAGATTCTGGAACACAAACCAAAGCCACCTACAACTGAAAATGGAACGAACGAGCGGAAAGCACAAGAACATACCTCCCACCATGATACACCCCGCAGCCTCAGGAAGCCAACGAATCTGAAAATATCGGATCAGAGATTTAACCAACCCACAACACGCAATTACCGCCACTCCAACCAAGAGCCACCGATCCGAAAGCTCTTCGTCTTCACCTACACTGCAAATTTCATGGAACGCATTCAATATCGAGGTACAACAAGTTCTTGCTTCGACAGAAGTGGGATCGTTGAGAACATTCGAGATCATACTGGCAGCATCGGCAACGGCCTTTGAAGAAGCAGCTGCATCGTTCTTGGCTTCGGTATTCGTTTGGTTTGCAACAGCCTTCATAAGTTTGTTATCCTGTTGAAGCATCAACGTTTCCGAGAGCATCTTTCCCGATACATGCTTTGCTGTGACGGGAAGGGCAAGATTTGCCAATGGCTTTTTTGTACCGCTCTCTTTGGCTTTTATTGTTGTGTTTCTTCCCTCTTGCAATGGTGCTTGTAGCTGAACTTCCAAAACGCCGTTCGCCGGTGGATCGTAGCTTGTTTTGAAGCCGTCTCCAGGTACTCTTGACGTTGGATTCTTTTTGCCTTCCAAACTTTCCTCCCATTCTCTGTCTTCTGAATTGTCACCATCCTGATTATTTCGTACTTGGTCTTTTATCCTTCTTTGCGACGTTCTAATCATCTCACTTTTCGAAGGTTCGTATCCGTCGTCGTCATCTTTCATAATGATTTCGATTTCGTCATAAGAAGCATCCGATATCCTGCCGTCCTCGTAATCGTCAACGCCCTTTCCAAGCGCACGTCTTCTACTACCACGACTGYCATTAGAAAGTAACTGCGTCTTCAATTCTATCTCCAGGGCAGTTTCATCCCATACTTCAGGTATTTTTTCTTTGGTCAAAAATATTCGTGACTTGGACCATAGGGATCGAAGTTTATGGGACCAATGGAGCAATTCAAGTCGCCAGTACGCAACTCCATTTGTTTTTCCTTTTGTAGTTGTTTGCAATCTTCGTTGCCTCGTCGACGCAGCCGACGTGTCCAGCTGAGATTCTGGCTCCAATTGCTCATCGGAAGCGCAGGTTTGGGTATATGCTTTTTTTAGTCCGTCGCATTCGTCCTTTAGGTCGGTAGCATTGATAACGTAGTCCATGACGCTATCTCGACACAATAGGACATCTGCAGCGTGCACAATGGATCCACCCGCCGCCGATGGAATGTTATCATCTGTGTTCTGAACAATGGGGAAGGCTTGGAACTTCTCGTTTGTGGTCTGATGCCGTCGTAACAGTTTGTTCTCCTTGTATTTGTTCTTCTTGGTCCATTCGTATGAATTTCCTCTTTTTTTCTGTTGCATATCTTTGTAGATGTATACGTTCTTTCCTTTCTTTCTCCGGTGATATGGCCCTTCGTTTTCAGAAAATAGATTGTCGTCGTCGTCACCTTCTGCATTCTGTATTCGGTTCGCCATGGTCTGGTCGTCATCTGTGAGAATCGAGGCGCTGCTCGTCTGTTTCTTTTTCAACGTATTTTCTTCAGAAGTCCCCCAAAAGTCTGCCTTGTWAGTGACCTTTGCAGCCAGTTCGAAGGCCTGCAACGGCTCGGGGTCTTCCATCCATACCAACAAAACCAACAAAAGGATCAAAAAGCACAACCAGAGAACTAACCGCAAGCCGAACAAATGCTTTCTGCTTGCACGAGCGTTGCTCGACGATAGAGATGATGTCACCATTGCATATGTGCGTTCTCTTTTTTTAWTAGCCAACGTTATCTTGCCATTCACTTGCAACGTGGCTGGTTTAGCTCTCTTTCGAAGTCACCAACAGAGATGACAGAGGCAAGTGGTACCGGTAGAGCAATTTGAAAGGACGGAAAAAATGCGCTCGTTGTGTCTCTGGTCGGAACTCGTAAGTGTACGTAGTACTCGTACGGTAAAGTACGGTACMGTAGTTTTAGACGAATTCTCTAACGTTCAATCTTGAATACAGTACGTACGATGTACGGTACAATAGCAATACAAGACCAATAAGGTACCCGTAGGTATGTACCGTACAGTACCCTACAATGCAGTTACGGTAGAAGATGCGAGAATTCGTTAAATAAATACGGTATCGTGCGGTACCTGGTACCGTACATAAATTACTACAATGATGACATACCGGTAATAACAACCGTACCGGTATGGAAACCATGAATGAACGAACCATTGCATCTACTATTTGACGTCATCCCAATCATGCGGGATTGAGAATGTGATTCTGGATGGTTGGTGATTCTCGATTTCTGTACCGGTAGGTACWGTACAGTACGTACGGTACCAGGTACCATACCGTATCTTCCATTTTTCGATGAAGGATCTCCTCTCATCTGCCTTAMAGTAAAAGCGCTCTTCATACAATACCGTACCGTACCCTACGTATGTACTCGTACATTTTTTGACACCACAACACTTACTCAACACAGCGTTGGAAGTWAGAGCATTACCGAATAAACCCATCAAAAGCCTTTCGAACTACATTCATTTCTGTTGACAGCAGCTCTAACTTGAAGAACCAATAAAGGGTTGCAAATAGCTTCGCATTTTTCATGAAAGGGAGAGCCCATCAGTTGGTCTTGTCGTTTTTAATAGGTAGGGGTCAACATCAACACAAACTGCCTTATCGCTTCGTCGATTCTCTTGCTACAACTTCTGGACAAAGTACAATCCATAGTACTACTTGCAGCATGTCGTACAGCGGAGGAAGGAGTGGTGGACGTGGGGGAGGAAGAGGCCGTGGTGGTGGTCGTGGAGAATACTATAAGAACAAATACGGTGGCGGCGGCGGCAGAGGGCGAGGTGGCAGAGGGCGAGGTGGCGGTGGTAGGGGAGGGTCCGGTGGTGGAGATCGCGGTCACCCTTTGCCCTCGGGGGGCGGTTCGTACGATCACTTGCAAAGCCTTGTCCAGAGTCTTGATGGAAAATCCTATCCCGCGTACCATAGCCTGGACACTGATCTCAAGCGTGGATGGGTCGATTTGGAACGGGGATTCACCCTGTTCTGCGAACGAGCCCAGAGCGACCCCTTTGCGCCCCCGACCCGGTGCAGAATTGTGGTGGACGCCTCGAAAGCGGCATTTCCCCCGCAGTTGTATTCCAACCGAATAAAAGCCGTAGCCCTGGCCGACTTCCTGCTCCGCAATCTCTATAGCACCTGCAAGAGCTTGGGTGCGGATGCCTCCATGAGAGGCAGTGGCTGGAAAGGCCCCAAAGGTGGTGACATCCAGGTTCTCGAGCCCTGCCAGCACGTATTGGAACAATCTGCTGTTCGGATCGACCCCTCCACCGGAAACATCGTCACTCAGATTACCGTCAACCTGCCGGCGCGGGGACGGACCATCCTGGGGCATGCAGCGGAAACTATTTTCGCAAACACCATACCCACTATGATAGAACGCTGCTTGTGTTACGCCTCGCATTCCGCCGATCAGTTGAGACAACACGTAGAAACGGTGGAAGATCAGGTTTGGCTGCGAGAGCAACTGGAATCCCGCAACATAGTCGCCTTTGTTCGAAACGGGGCCATTCTGCCACGAAAAAGCGGTGCCGATGATCGCCCCATGGCTAAGAGCGAGGCTGTCCCGTTTGAATCGCCGTCACGATTGACGATTAATTTCACTCTTCCAAACTCTGGCGTCACTGTAAAGGGAATGGGGATCCCGAAAGGCATAACGCTCATCTGTGGAGGAGGTTTCCATGGGAAGTCCACTCTGCTCGAAACATTGCAATTGGGAATATATCCAAAGATTCCGGGAGATGGTCGCGAGTTTTGTGTGACTTCGATGTCGGCGGTCAAAATCCGAGCAGAAGACGGGCGGAACATTCGTTCTGTCGATATAAGCAATTTCATCAACAACTTACCATTCGGGAAAAACACTACGTGCTTCTCCAGTGAGGACGCCAGCGGGAGTACTAGTCAAGCCACAAGCATCGTCGAGGCACTCGAATGTGATGCGAAAGCTTTGCTGATTGACGAAGATACATGTGCTACCAACTTTATGATTAGGGACGACAAAATGATGCAACTAGTTGCGGCCGAAAAAGAACCGATTACACCGTTTGTTCGAACTGTTCGATCCCTATACGACGATTGTCAAGTGTCGTCAATTTTGGTGATTGGAGGAACTGGGGACTATTTTGATGTGGCCGACAACGTTTTGGTGATGGATTCCTACAAGTGTTTTGATGCGACCGAGAAAGCGAAGATGATTGTAGCAAACTCAAAAGAGGCATCTGAATTGCCACATACATCATCACAAAGTGTTACCTTTCGACCAGTGGAGAGAACGCGACATATAAGTGGAAACGCCTTTGCTCCAAATGGGAAAGTGAAAACAAATTCTCAAGACTCCATATCCTATGGAGAAACCGAACTCGATCTAAAGTGTATGGAACAGCTTGTCACAAAAGCACAAACAACGGCTCTTTCAGCTGCCTTGCAGCGCTTGCCCGAACTATCGAAGGGGGATCAATCTTTCAAGAAAATTCTGTACAAATTAGATAAACTGATTGATAACGAAGGTCTCGATATCTTRGCTCCTGGCCAATGCCATGGAGGGATGGCACGTCCCCGCCTTTATGAGATCGCAGGTGCTATAAACCGTCTTAGACGGGAGAACAGTATTACTCAAAAGTAAATACTGAGCTTAAATTCTAAGCTTGACAAAGAAAAAGATTGACTAAATTTCCTACTAAATTCTATCGAACCAATAATCAAACCTCGCCTTGATCCCTTGCCGCCTTCAACTTCGTAATCTCTTTATCTTTTTGTTGAAGCTCGTAATCGAATTTTGATTGTGCAAGCCTTTGTTCAAGATCGAGTTGGGAAATCTTGTTCGTTAGATACACTTCTGCTCTCGATTTTTCCGACTTGACCTCGGAAACTTTTACCTGCAGCTTGCTGATCACTCCTTCGTAATAACGACTGATCGTCGCTATTCTCTTTCTTAACTTTTCAGATGCTCCTAAAGAAGATTTCATCATCTCGTGTAGCTGTTGAACCTGATGCTTCATAAGGGAGACATCTTCCTGGGAAAAAGACTGGCGTTTGCTACGTCGTCGAAATAAAATCCCACACCGTCGTTTCTCTTTTTCTTCTTCCTCGAGCTTCATCTCAGTGGTGAAATTCGTTGATTTTGTATCAATGACAGACAGAGATTGGTGACGGCTTAGGATAACACCTTTGATGTCTCTCTTTCTCCTATCAGAAGGGAGCCTCGTGTCTTTACTTCGCTYAATCGACACAGATTTTGTTCTTGGACGAACAGCTCTTTGGTCATTTCTGATACGAAACACGTTTTGATTGYGAAGGTTTTCGGGGGACGATGGCACTATATAGATGTCATTTGCTTGAGAGAAGTCTGCTACCTTGCTACAAGGGTGTCTACCGATCAAGACTGGATCACTGCTCCGTAATGATCGTCGAATAGTGTTTCGCGGTTGGCTCACGAGTCCTATAATGCGCATGTTCTCGGGGGGGGCTGCCATCATTGTAACTGAATTCAGAGCAGGTCTTACACCCGTGATTCCTGGGAATAGGATTTTGTTCGGAGGTTTGTCTTTGAAACTTTGAATGACACGATCAGAGTCACTACTTTTTGGGGTTTCAGATGGATTGGTGTTTGTAGCCAATTCCGAAGACTCGTACGCCGAGATATCGAACATTTTTGTTACAAGCGTGTTGAGGTCCTCTCGGAGCCTCTTCGCATCAGCTTGGTATAAATCGCGCTCGAGCTCCATGTGCGCTATTCTATCTTTTGATTTCTGGACCTGGGCCCTCAAGTCTTCGTTCTCTAGACACGTAACCGAACATTTTTTTGTCACCGAATCGAACTCAGTTTGCAATGTTTTGAGCTGATCCAAGAGCATCATTGTATCCATTTTGGCTGCTTCTTTTCGAATTTCATTTACAGCCATTTGAATTTCACTATTGGTTCCTTCTAGATCTAGACAAAAAGACGAGTCGCAATCGATGCTGAGTGTCGTCTCAAACAGGGATTCAGAAAATACGTCCTCTGCATCCTCCAACCCAGTTGTAGAATGACATTCATATTCCGCTTCCCGGAGGTAGAGGATGGAGCTGGAAATACTCTCTTCCTCTCCAATTCCAACGTCTTTCGAACCGTTGTATTTCCTTTCCACGGTCGGTGCTGATTTTGCATGCATTTCCCATTTTCTTTGCGGTACATCCTCGTTCGTGTTCTTTGATGGCAGATTCGAAGTGAGGTCTTTCCAGAGGGCTACGGTTTCGCATTGCTCTTGRAWAAGTAGGTCTTGTGGATCGCGAGGCAATTCTTTTTGTATTCGATTGATGAAAGACTGTTGATTCATGATGTTTTTATTCGGTTTAGAACAGCCTGGTTCTGGGTCTGATGGTTCTTCCCACATCTCTCCGGTTGGATGAACCTCGCACTCTGGTTCGGAATGCTTCGTCGATGACGTAAAGAAATACGGGGTAGCATTGGAATTCGATCGGAGATTTTCCAGCTTGGAAGTTTCTTTCCCATGGTTCTTAGACCTACAAACACTAGTCCCTGTCGATGCAGTCATCATTGTTTGATTTTCTGATTGCTAGCTGCAATTCCTGTCTCACGACAAAAATTGGTCCAACCAGAACTGTAACAGCTAACCGTAATGAACATATTGTAGGCTGTATGCATGCATAGTGGAACAAGTCCCGCAAGATCTTAAACCACGAGGCATGGCACCATGTTCAAAATACTGAATATCCCAAGTTTTGTTCGTGAAGCGACTTGTCGCCGTTGGGGTTCTTTCTAGTTGAAGCCATCGTAAAACCCGTTTCCTTCATATTATGCYACGAATGGAAAGTTAAACATTGAAAGAAAAACATGTCGCACCTCCATTGAAGTCACTCCGAATGCTGAAATGCATCCGGTTCAGAGACAAACTGTTTTTCAGCTACTGTTTCAGTTCTCAGCAACCCGAGACAAAAATATGGCTAGAAGGTTTTGCTTTCTTTGGTTTGCGCGAAAACTTGAGACTGCTCGAAGGCAGAAGGTACAGAATGGTAGCGTACGTAGTGTACAGAAGTACGTCCGTACTACTACGAGTTTCCTAACAATTGAAACCGGACTCCGCCCGAGAGCAATAAGTAATAATTTCAAGTTCTAAACTTCGATTTGAAGTTATTAACTTCAAAATGTCCCTGTAGAAAGTCTAACAGGTTCTACTGAGCTAGTTTTTGGATGGCATTCATGATTGAAAGGCCAGGATTCATAATTGAAAGGCCAGGATTCATAATTGAATCACCTCGAACTGTCATTTTAAAATCAAGCTCAGTAGAACCTGGTACATGATGTACGAGCAAAAGTTCATAACTTCAAAGTTTAAAACTTCCTATCAAAACTTTTTGCTCTCTGGCGGAGTCCGGTTTTCAATTGTTCGGAAACTCGTACGGTAGTACTGTAGTCACGTAAAGAGTACAGGACAAGTACGAAAATGGAGTTGAAAGCACAAGCGCAGGAATTAAAAACATTGGCGGAACACTTCTGCGTAGCATACCATTATCGCCCTCTCTTTCGAATGGCACGATTGCAGTGCAAGAGAAGTACATGTTACTATTACAGTTCTATTCGCGGTGACAAAAGGACGACGTAAATTGGTTTGGTCTCGGGTGGTTTGAATCCCCAAACAACTGTCGTCGGCGTGTTCACTTTTCCACAGCATGCACTGCAGGGCGATTTATTTTGATAACAACACAACACAATGTACARTATATATGCGAAAGAACAAACTCGCAATGCCACCATTGGTTGGCTCTCTCCTTTCGGTATATTTTGCACGCTCGCTATTTATACTTTGTGTGCGACCATCAACTTCAGTGGACTCGATTTGAGTGTGGAGCATGAACCCTTGTTTGCATCCACAAAACCTCGAGTTGTGGATGAAGATTCTTTCACTTCGGACGGAAATTCAACGCCCATTGCTCACCGCTCTTGGCACGAGCCATCGATCATCGATAGCGCCAGCAAAAAATCGGACGAAATTATCGATTGGACTGACAGCATTTTCAGTCGTGAAGGATGGGACAATGATCCCATCGTGATCGAATCCCACAAGCTTTTATTCTTTACAGTTCCAAAAAATGCTTGTAGCACATTCAAGAGGCTCTTTCGCCGGATGATGGGGCACCAAAATTGGCTTCAAGCCAGCCCACACAACCCCTCCAAAAACGGACTGAAGTATCTAGGCCACTATTCCAAAGACAAACAGAGAGAATTCATGACATCGCCAGAGTGGACGAGAGCCATATTTGTGCGAGACCCTTTGGAGAGAACTCTATCTGCTTACATGGACAAGGGAATGAACACTGGTCCACTGGACTGGCAACCTACCGTGCGGGGAGCTCACATCAAGCGGGCATGTTGCAGCCGTACCAAAAGACAAATTGCAGCGTGCAGAGAGTTTCCTTTGACACCATTCAAAATTGATTTAACACCACAAAACTTTCCATTCGATTTTTTTGTCGAATCTTTCATGAGACAATGCAAAGATAGTCATTGGCAACCTCAGCATCTTCGAATGCGAGAAGAGAATTGGAAATGGATTAATTTTGTCGGAAAGTTTGAGAACAAACAAAATGACACTCGTAGACTTTTGGAACGGATAGGTGCATACGATGAGTTCGGCGCGTCTGGGTGGGGCGAAAACAGTGAAGAGAGTGGTAAGAACGTGACGTTAGCAGTTTTCGAAAAAAACATAGCAAACCACAAAACAGGGTCCGGGAATCGGATGAAAGATCATTACTCACCCAAGACAGAACGACTGGTAATGCAATACTATCGACTCGACTACAGCTCTGGATTATTTAATTTTACGAAGCCGGAAGGCTACACACACAAGTTGTTCGGAAGATCAAACCCAACTAGACTCCTGGCCTGATCTACTGCAGAAAACAACTAAGGTCGCCAAGAAATTGGACAAGGTCCTTTCAACCAACGGGAATGGGGATGACTCCAGCTAAACCAGTTCACACTGAATATTGTACCATATTAAATTATAAAATCAGCACTTTATTTTGTCATCTTGATCTCTCGAACAGATCCATCAATTTTCGGATCGTCTTCCTCCTCGGTACTGTGATCATCCTGTCCCCAGTTTCCGCTCACACCGAATGCGTCAGATCCAAACGACGATGACTCATCGTCGCCATGAACGAAGCTATCGTCATCTTCCAAATCGTTTGGATTGTAGCCCTCAACCAACAACTGACGGTCGCTACGATTGGATTTTCTCTTCCTGATGAGCGAAGCGTTGTCGATCATGGTTCCAACAGTTTCCGTTGGTCCTTCACCCAGTCCCTTTTCCAATGACATTTGAGACTGAAAAAGTACATTTTGTCTTTCTATGTCCCCCTGTGAAGTATGCCGCATTGTACCAGTTACTTGTGATTTAATCTCTCCTGTGTTATAGCGGTTGCTCGTTTCACGTAAGAGATCGTAGGTTCTTTCAGTCTTACGAATTAATGAATTCGTTGGTTCCAAATGCACAGAACAAAACAGACGCAGAGTACCAACAACGTGCACCCCAAATGCATCCAAGATACTCTTCAAAAAAATCGTTGAGGCTGGATCGGTGAAACCAGACTCGATTTCTGGCATAGAAATAATGGGTTGGTAATTTCTCCATTCAACGTATTCTTGAAGTTTCGCTACAGAAGTATCTAGCATGGTCTTAGATGCGTTGACAATTGAAGGCAAAAGAGATTTTGGGAAAATRTGAAATTTGTCCGTGTAAAGTTTGATCAATGATCCGTATACCGCTATCATCTCATCAAGCTTGTAAACAGGGTGAAGTTTGTATGAAACTGTTGCAGAATGTTGAAAGCTCGACATCGCTTCGGGTACGGAGAAGAGAGCAATGCTTGAAACCGTTGACCGCAGAACCATATCGAAGAATATTGGATAACTCGATGATGTCAGACAAAAAAGATCACCAACAGAAGGAATTGAGGATTTGCAAAATTGCGATGAACTGGTAGAAGGAGGAACATATTCACCGTCTCCATCATCTGATGATTCGTCGCTTTCTTTTGAACTCGCTTTTTGTCCAACAAAGCAATCGTCCACATCTTTCAAATATTCAACAAGTTTTCCTAGAAGCGTTTCTAGAAAGACTGTGAAAAGAGATATCTTCCATTGCGACAAAGCAAGAAGTGCCCAATGACGGCACATTGAATGGATGAGAAGCATATTTTTCTCTCCAGACTTGTTGAAGCGGCTTGCCATCAATTTCAATAGAGTATGCCGCGTGGAGCGTTCTTGCGCAGTTGAATTAGAATATCCGTCAGGCGAAAAATGTGACAGCGACTTCAAAATTTTCGTCAGAACATAAGGTGGCTCAGAGGCACCCATATGATTAACAGCGTTTGCATACTTGCGCATAAATGTGGCTTTCCAGTGAAAGTCGATCACGCACTTCATAATGCTTGGATCTGATCGAGCTGCGAATATAGATAAAGCCTCCAAGAGTTGACAGGTGATAGAAGTATGGCAATCTTCGATATGTTGTTGAAAGTTACAAATAAGAGTCTTGAAGTCATTTATGGTGGCCGAATCATTGGCGCCCTTGTAGTCAATTGTGCTCTTCAAAGGTTGTTTAGACCCAATTAGTGACAGATAAAGACAAAAAAAATGCAAAAAGTCGTCGTTCCCTGTATTCAGCTTTTGGTGATTGACATCTGTTTTTGAGATCAGTATTGCACATACTAGTCTGAGGTATTCGGATATCAATTTAACCAGTAGTTCAACCAATGCATGGCTTTCCTTGATTTCTTTCATGAAAGGGAGTTTCAGTAGTAAAAATGAAGCTAAGCGCAGGCATCGAGCTGCATATTGTCGAACCAGTGGCGGCTTTCTTACAAGGATATCCTGACTGTCGATGCATCCAATGGTCGAAAAAGATCCGATGCCTGTGGCAAGATGCTCTATCAAATTCAGTCTCGTCTGAACTACCTCAGAAATACTCTCCATCATCCAACATTGCTGAATATTGTTTACAGCAAAGACAATGAGTGAATCGTGTGATGAATCAGTAAGAGAGATCCACAAAACTTCACTTGGAATAAATCTGGAAGGTTGAAAGAATCTAACAACTGTTTCTCTCAGCTGCAATGCTGTAAGTTCTGCTATTATCTGTATATTCTGTAAGTAGAAGATTGAAATTGTTGAGGAAGATGCGCATTTCTAAAAGTAAGGGTTTGATGCAGATTGCACAATTTATCCTTACCGTTTTTTCGGCAGAAGCATTATTCGACCTTGGTCGTTTTGTTTTCTTTCTCTTTTTCTGTACAGAAATCTGATTCCTTGATCCGAGATTCCGAAATAAACGTTCCATTGATCGGCATCTGTGCTTCAAGTCGCATACTTTCATCAGTTGATAGTGTACCATTTGTAGAGGTTCTTTCTTCTTATCAAAGTCCGTTTCGTCTTCCAGTGTATCCTTGAAGTGGTCGAAGGTGTTCCGAAGAATCGCTATTGATACAGACAGAGCAAATAGTAAAGTGAAGGCAAACCGAGATATTGAATCCACTATTGCTTCCTTCTCTGATAACGTCCTTGCCTTTTTGATTACGTCTATGATTTTTTTCTCACTCGTTGACAGCAGAAGAACGTTATTTTGTAAACATCGGAATTTTGAGAAATCGGCGTTCAACCAGTCCACAAGTTTTCTCTCGCTGGTTTTCGTAATCAATGAAGATGAGGCCACAGAGCGAAAATTAATGCCAGCGAACTAATATATCAACATGGGACGAACCATCGAAAAGAAGGCAAAAAACATCACATCATGAGATTCGAAAATTTACAATGAGCGCGAGTTCCTTCGTTGTGAAATTTGACTTACAATCCATGCACGAGGATTCCATTTAGCTGTTCGGCCTAAAATAAAATAAGTGTCAAGCAGCTCAAATATCCATGAGGTTGATGATTCCCATTTCGATTGTTGAGTTAACGCTGTGTCCTTGGAAAAGAAAGAATCAAAACAGATGACCATGTTTCTAAATTTTCGTTGTTTTCTCGCTTTATCTTCGGATGACAAGAATGAAGGCGTATGAGTGTAAGCTAATACTGTGTTTGTCTCGGTTACAGTGGCTTTGGAAGCATCATCAGGGTAATGKACGATTCTGGAATGCGTCAGAACAAGAGATACCAATCGAAACAATTCTTTTCCTGAAGGAGAATAAGTTGTCGTATGTTGCTGCAGGTGGCGAATGATTTGCATCCCGTGAAAGCCTACTCTTGGATCCAAATTGAGAACACCCGAATGAGGCGACACTAAAATCCTCGATATCATTTTCTGCACTCCCATTAACATGGTCGTATCCAGGCAACAGCAGGAAATGACCACCTTCACAAACACCATGCCTCGAATTCGACGCTGTATTGAGAATTCATCAAATTGAGAGGTTGTTCGTCTTCTACCATCCACTGTAGTCGAAAAGAGGAGGGTCCGACAGATCATTAGGAGGTCTAGTCCTCCACTTGGTTTATCGGTACAAGCAAGTTTGGTAACAACAATGCACAGCGTCTTTAACATATCAAGTTCTTGAGTAGAATCAAACCCACCAGAAATGATATATTCTTCCAGTCGGTTTTGGAAAGGCTTTAACATATCTGTCTTGGCAGACGACAGTGTAAGAAGCAATGAGAAAATAGTTTGACATATTTTGTTGTGGTTTTCTTCATATGATTTGGATCGATTTTTATTGGAAATCGCGATTTTTCCTTCTGGCTTTTTCGCCCTCAACTCATCCACGATCCCTAGTGCAGCAGAAATTGCTTTGAGTTGGCAATCATCAGGCAATATAGAAATAACTCGAAGGAGAAGGACGTTTGCTTTGGAAAAGAATTCTCGCGAGTCGAGTTCAACTGAGCGACGTAATGGAGTCAGTAGAATAATCATACAAAAGTCCACCAACGATTCGAACAATCGTTCRTGCAAATTTGAATCCAATGGATACAACGGATCGATAGCCTGGGGTGTGCAGTTATGGTTGCCACTGACGAGTTCTTTCAGTTTTGATAATTGTGAGTCGGACATTAGTCCCGATTCCGCCGGCGAGACACCCGAAATCATTCCTAATATTTTATCACGATGTCCAGGATAGTCCTTTGAGAGGATAATTACAACCAAATCGAATGTCAAAATTTGTGCTTCGAATTCTGCAGCATCACAAAGTTGCAATTTATGCTTTTTCTCCTTTCTTTCGTCGATCAGTTCTCCTACGACGACCAAGTATTCTTCAACAAATAGTTTTTCAGCTTTTTTACTCCCTCGAATGGCTACGTCGAATGTTTTTGCCACAGAACCCATGTCAGAAATATCAGTCTTCTCTAAAAGTCCAAGTTCAGTTCTAATGGAGTCCACTGCTCGCCGTGCATCTTCGGCACTGTCAATATATTCAATGAGGGCTTTCAGTGCGCCATGTAGATTGGTTTCGGGTACTTTCGGCAAAATACCGATGATGAAAAGCAAATAGTCTCTCTTGTCCAAGACCTTTTTCTGTGGCTCTCCTTCCGCTAGGAATGATGAGAAGAATCGCAATATTTGAGGCAAGGAGTTTGAATCGTTTTCAAAAACCTCTTTCAAACACGAAATTATCTCTTTCTTTACTTTTTTGGATTGCCCTTCGTTCCTTGCGGCATCGCCGTTGCTATATGCAGGAAATATTTTTGTAACCGCTGGGAGGAAGTCTAAGACAATCTGTCGGCAGTCGACTGTCTCGACGCAGCGTAGGGTCGATAGTATGTTTTCGCGAACTAAGTCTACGCTATCTACCGGATTGAGGTTTGATAGAATGCGGCAGAAGACACGTCGTATATAGTCTTCTGGTAAGTCCCTGGTTTGTCGATTTTCATCTTCCTCCGTTTCRATGTCTCCTTCGTCTCCTTGTAAGGTATCCCATTTTGTCAAAAAAATATGAAGAGCATCCAACAGACTTCGAATAGTTGGAGGAGATGACCTGGACTCCAAGTTTTCCTCCGCCTGCTTAACAGATTGTCGAAACGCGA